GATAAAGTCTACATATACAAATCGTTTAATCAATGTAATTTTTATGAAAAATCAATTATGGAAATGTTTCCCTATGCTAATTGGTTTTATTTTTTTAAAAGAATATTTACCATTTCAAAAATTTTGAATAAACGAGACAATCGACTCTATGATGTTATTAAACAAGAAATTGTTAACGATAAACCTATTCACAAAGGTAAACAATTTAATATGTATTATATAAACGCAAAGGAATGTTTTTAAAAAAAAACAAATATTTTTTTTAATTTTTTATATTAACTGTGTAATACGTTTTGTTAACAAGAAATACATTGTCAAAACATTTACACTTTGTTTTGTTTACTTCTTCGCAACGATTGTTTTCACGTATTAAATTAAGTAAATCTTTATATTCTTCTCTTTTTCCATCATTACCTTTAACATGGTATATAAAATCTAATAAATAATTTTTCAACATTTTGGTTTCATATTTAGCACAATGATCCAAATGATATTTTCTAAACAATTCGTTTTTAAAATGACTGTTGCACATAATTTCATCATAGAAATACTCCATTAGTTTCACTTTAGGAAACTTAAAATTATTTAAATCGAAATATTGAACATTTTTAAAATTATTTAAAACCTTTATTTCCATTTCTCCACCCTTATAAAAGACTACATTTAAAGGATACTTTTGTAAATAATTATTTAAGCTAGTGATTACATCGGTACAAAAAATGATACCCGAGTTTGCTTCCATTGATGGATAATACTCCAATCCGTGTAAATAATTTAAATCTTATACAATTAGCACCCCAAACATGACTATCTTTACATTGATTGGCAATGTGTTCAATATCCAACAGCCAAAACTAAAAAAATAACAACACTTTTTATTAAAAAAGAAATGCTTACTTTTAAAAAATTTAATAAAAGTGTATAAAAAAAAAATATTTTTTTTTTTAAAAATTTTATAATAAAAAAAATGAATCGAGTTGACAGCATCATTAAAAAAATTCATAACAATTGCGCTGTTTGCGCATTAGATGAAATAGCCAAAAGGTATCAATCTCAAGAAAACAAATCTGGAAACTCTTCACCTTCATTTCTAGTTATAGACGAGGAACATTATGAAGACGTATGTTCAAATGATTTTCTTGAAAATATTTTAAATTCAAAGAGAATTACATTAAATTCTTATTCTATTGAAAAATGTTTTAAAAACAGTAAATTTAAAAATTTACTCGAGCAACCACAACTATGTCAATTTCACTTGAATAAATTTGAAAATATGAAAAAAGATCATCTTGACGAAAATGTTATAGCTGAATATTACAAATCTAAACTAAAAGTTTTCTTACTCGAAAGAGACGTTAAACCTGTTGTTCAATTTGAAGGTGATCAAACAGACGGGTTCATTGATACTTTTACTGCTAAAATATTACCTACCGCTTCAACTATCATAGAAAAACTAGATGGTGTATTAAAAAAGAAATCTGTTAAAAGAAACATTGAAGGAATCATAAAAGGTGGCACGTCTGATAAAAAAACATTATTTGTTAATATTTTACACGCCATTGTAACTTTATTTATTTCAAGTTTTTTTAGTTTAGAAAAAGAAGAATAAATGTGTACTAACGAATCTTTGTCTCGTTATTTTAATAATGAACCCTTTTTGAAAGATTATTTAATAGGAGTTTACGCTTTTGACGAGTTAAGTCAAACTCGAACTCACGTTAATATTATACAACGTATGGTAAAAAACGGATCTTTTTTTATATACAATAACGAAACTAGCAAAAAAAAAGGAGAACATTGGAGACTTTTACTTAAATTAGACGCTAAACATTTTTTTTGCTTTGACAGTTTAGGTACTGAAAGCTGTTTACGACAAATTCCACCTTTTTTAAGAAGTAATAGACATTTGTTTGAAGCTGTAGAAGAAATACAAACTAACATACAAATAAACACTTTAAATATTAATTATAATGAGATTGAAATAAGTTCTTACATGCGACAAACTCATCACTTTCCTTACGAGTGGACATCCGATAACCATGAATTTTATTGGTTTACAAAATTTATATTAAAATATAGTTCGATAACTGGTCAACAAACTATTTTGTTTTCTTATAACAAAAATTGTTTTCAATGGGAAAACAGTAGTTTGTGCGGACCTTTTGCAGCCTATTTTATATCCTTGTTACCAAACTATCTTATTAATGGACAAATTTATTTACCTTTATTGTGCAGATTATTGAACTATCACTTCTATGAAGTTTCCGAACTTCATGCCTCTGAACTAGCTCAAATAAGTTTGCTTCCATTTTTTCACTTTATTAGAACTAAATTATTTAAACACTTGGATGTTACTGCTAAACAACCTTTTGAAAAAGACATGAAGCTACATCTCTTTTTAAGAAAAAACGAGAGTCTGGTACGTAATAATGTAACAATAAAAACAATGAAAATTCCTATAGAAAATGATATTTTTAAAACTGAGGTCATGACCAATAACAAAATTAGAAGTCTTTTAAACGATGCCAGATTATTGAGAACAAACAATGAATGTCAATTGGATAAAATATCTATTCAAGATATCAATGCTATTAGAGATGTTATGAACGAAGAAAACCTTGCTTTAAAACAATACGAAAATATGAACGATATGTATTTTTTTGATTACAGAAGATTAAAAGATATAAACAATTTTATTGATGTTCCTCTTGATGATGTCATGACAAAAAAAGCAATAAAAACTCGCCTCATTCAAAATTGAATATAAAAAAATGTCAACAACAGACGTGCAGAAAGTAGCTTTATGCAGAATTAAAGAAAAATTCATGGAAGAAGTATGCGAAAATTGTGCAGGATATGGAAAAATTTATATTAGTCGAATAAAAAATCCAAAACTATTAAATGTATTGAAATTATGTAAAGCTCACGTATTCAATGATGAAGTTTGGTTATCTTGTATGGCCAATTCGATCAAGTTCAACGTTTCAAAGAAAATAGCATTTCCAATAAAGACTAATAAACTAAAATGTGACATTTGTCAAGGAAAGAAAAAACTGTTAATAAAAAAGTCTAAGAAACACAATACACAAAAAAAAAACAAATTAAATTTACTTTGTATTTTATTACTGCTTAAATAAATGTTTTTTACATAATAAAATTGTTTAATATACTTCAAAACTTTTATCCGCAGGTTTATATATGTTAACGAGTGGTTGAGTTGCAACTGTTTTTGTTACAGTGGGTGTTGATTTATTTCCTTTCCATGCTTTTCTTAAACTGTATAATAACGAACCCGCTTTTAAAACATTAGTTACATTTTGAGGTGTAATGTAGTCTGATAAGCGCGTTGTTTTCGTTTAACTTTACGAGTAAGTCTTTTTTTTATTCGCATTCTTCTAACAACCATATTGATAATGAATCCTTTATAACTGATACAAATTCATCATATCTCATACTAAATGGTTTTTGATTTTTAAGCATTTCATCTTCATATATAATATCATAAATAAAATCAATGTTAGCTACATCGTTTGAACGAGTTACTTTTATTTGATTGCTACCGTCCAAGCGAAAAAATAACTTGAAATTTCCATTTACATCTTTCAAACTATCGTTTGTTTGAAAAGTTTCCAATTTTTTAGCATTATAAAATTGTAAAAGACAAATTTTAAAAGCCTTTGCGTCCATTTTTTTTAAAATTAAGAAATAAACTTTTTTTTATTTTTTTATATATACTTTTTTTAAAAAAAAATATCAAAAAACAACAGTATTAAATATATTATTTTATTGTAGGTAATTCATAACCAATATATATATTCCCTTTGTTTACATGACTAATAGTATATAATCCAGAACGTACTTTATAATCAATAACAAATCCTCCTAAAAAAGTAGAAATGTCTGTATGTCCTTCTTTTCTATTTCCACTTATTATCTGACATAGATATTCATTAAAATATTTAAAAGTTAAGATATATTCGCCATAACTTGTTACATCGGCTCTTATGTTATTTAAAGAATATACTCCCATATCTTTAAGTATTAGTTTATAAAACTCCAAATCTTCTTTAATAATATTAACGTATGCGTTAGTATAACAATTACTACAATGTTCTTTTCTGTGATATCTTTTAGCAGCATATTCGCAATAACTTTGTTTAAACAAACGTCCTTCGCTTGATGTCATTCTTGTTAAACTAAAAATTTATTTCTAAAGTTTAAATATCAATCCATACTACCTCTTAATCTTCTAAAAACAATAATATAATTTTTTACCAAGGTATACCAAATTTTCTAGTAAGCCAAAAAACTACATTACCTCTACCCACCATGTTACTTAAACGTGTATGCGGTTTTGATTTTTTGTTTATAAAAATATATCTTTTTGTACGTTTATTACGTCTGTGTCCCCTTCTCATTTTTTTTTTTGACTTGTAAAAAAAAACTTTGAAAAAAAAACTTATACATTTTTTTATAAAAAAATTTTGTGTCACCTGACACGCTCAGGACTCACCGAAAGTATGAGCTCTCAGTGGGGACAATCATCAAGTATCAATGATACTCAATGTGTTTAACATATAACTAACTAAGCTAACTAGACAGACCTCATCAAGCTTTCGCTCAATGTGTTTATACATATAATGTTAAAGCCGTAAAGTTATAGAGAGATTCGAACCCTAGACGATCGGTTCATGGCGGTTTAAAACTTAGTGCGGAAATGATACGATGCACTAGGCTACGTCGACGTGTTGTTTAAGCGTGTTTTGAATTCATTTAAATTGTCATTTTAACACTTTACGTAGAGATTTTTTTCTACACAGAGTTTTTTTAAAGTTGTTTACGCACATTTTTTATTAAAAAATTCCCTATATAATCCTACCTAAAAAGCAAGATTAAAAGTTTCTAAACATAACTTGTTTGTCACAAAATTCTTTTATTTTACTTAATCTATAAAGATTAAATATTTTTATATAAAAGCTGCATTTTTTTATTTATTTTTTTTTTTTTTTTAGTTTTTCGTAAACATATTAATATATTTTTACAATTGCTTGGTAACCCTCTATTTTCTGTTTGTGTATGTTGTGAATTTGTTGTAGTACGTACAATTTTCCAATTTTAGATTAACTAAAAACAAAAAAATGGAAGCAATTTACGATAACCTTACGAAGCCATATTTGTAGATGGCAACTCAGTGTTCAACTTGAAAAATATAGACATTGTAGACGAAAAAGAAGATTATGACATGAACACAGATGATGAAACTGAAGATGATGATAGTAATTATGATGAAGATGATGATGATAGTAAAGATGATGATGATATTGAAAATAATGATGATAATGTTGATGATAATAAAGATGAAATAGACAATGGAATGGAACCTATGGAAATAGACAATAACATTGACGATAATAATTTGTATTATTATTTTGATTTTTAATGTACCTTTAGTTTTGACTGTTTTGAGAACATAATATTACCCATAAAATTTTTTTTAAAAAAACATTTATATCATTTTAATACTTTTTTTAGCAACTAATTAAAAAGTGGCTGAAGCTATAGACAAAGAATTTTGTTATTATTGCAAATTACCCTTTACTATTGAGCAACTACTTAATCATCAACTAAAATGTAACTCATCACAAGACTATGATTGTTTTAGCTGGGGAAAAAAAATTAAATTGTCAGATACTTGGGAACACGAATGTGAACTTTATCACGAAGAACACGTAGAAAAAAATCGTACTAAATTATGTGTATTTTGTGTAACTCAAATTCAAAAAAGCGACTTTGATCAACACGTTATCAATTGTTTACATCATTTTGAAAACCAATGGAAAGAAATAATGGAAAGACAAAAATATGATATTATGGATCAAAAACAAAGTTTAACTTTTTTAAACATGACTACTAATAACATTCTAAACAGTTTAGAAGCTGTCAACAATCAATTGAAAGCTTTAACTAAACGAATGAATAACGTAGACTTGGAAATGAAAAAATTGGATGTTTTAACTAAACGAATGGATAACGCAGACTTGGAAATGAAAAATTTTTTGAATAAAGACACATTGGAAAGAGATTTGAAACTATATGAACATATACTAAACTATAATAAAGATAACAATAAAAAATCCATGTCTGATAATTTGATAATAGAATTGGACCAAATGGATTTGAGATTGCAATCTAACGAACCTTATCATACTCAACCTTCTTATTCGCTTGATGGTTATTTGTACCGATTAAAAATTTTAGGTTACTGTAATAAAGAAGATAAAATGGGTATTTATTTTCAACTGATGCAATCTCCAATGGATCATTCTTTAAAGTGGCCGTTTGTAAAGACTGTAACATGCACAATTAAAACCGATGACTGTTATACTGAAAACACAAAAGTGATAGCCAATTATAGCGAACCATTAAAAGAATGTTTTGAAAAACCTGCTCAAGCATATAACCGAGCTGTTGGAACAGAAAGTTTTGCAACACATGAACAACTAAAAAAACATTATATAAAAAACAATAAACTTATTATACACGTTTCTTTTATACAATTTGTTATGTATTTTAATGTTTTTTTAATATAACTTTGTGTTTAATATGTATTTTTTTTTAGACTATTAAAAAAAATGAACAGTGCAATCATGAGAGAACTGGCTGACTACATCACTACGTCTGATGTAAAAAAATTAAAAATGTTTTTAGAAATTCCTTACGGTATAAGAGAAAAAATTAAAGACGGACTAGATTTGATGGAATACATCTAGTGCAAGGATTTTGTATATCAACACTTTAAATATAAATCTAACGAAGCAAAAATAAAACTTATTTTATATTTATTAAATGAAATTGGTAGAAAAGATATTTATAATAAGCTTATAGTTAAATTAGAAGAACCTCCATCATACGAAGAAAGTTTAAATCCTCCAGAGTATACAGAAAATCCAAGATATTTTGTACAGATGAAAGATCATAGATATCCGTCATATAATCATCCAACGTATTATCCGCCTGAAGCTATTAATTTAAAACAAGAAGAACTTTTTAATTATTATAATAAAAAATAATTTTTTTATTTCATTTATGTATATTTGTTTTATAATAAAATATATAATTTTTTTCTTTTAATTTGTATGTTTTGTTTATGATCTTCATTTTAAACCTTCTTATGATTATAAGTATGATTTTATTTAGAATGTTAAGAAAAAATTTAATTATTCGTGCTAGAATACATCAAGATTTAAAGAAATTTTTTTCAATAATAGAAGACAAATTGAAAGATTTGTGGTGTAAAAACGGTGAAATGTGGTATATAATATATAAATGAAATCATGAATCACGGACTTTAAAAGATTTGTGTAAAAGAAAGTTAGCTTCTGAAAAACTGTTACGAATAGTTATACCAAATTTACGTAAACAAATTAACAATTTGATGTATTCGTTTTTTCAAAAGAATCAAAAAATTTTATTACAATATTCTGTTTACAAATCACACGAAGACGATTGTTTTGATTTAATTGACAAACGTACATTAATTAGATCGTTTTATTTAGATATTCAAATATCAATTGTTGATAATATATATAAGCTTTTTGTAAATACTTATTTTATAAATTGTTTTGCTGCTACTAAACAACACAAATTAGTCATGATTTTTTTTTTTGATATTTATATGGAATGTATAGATTGGTTATTTAAACAGCATGAATATGTTATTAATCCTTATTTTAAACCTAATAGAAATGATATGTATGATTTTATTTAACTTTTTTAGAAATAATTAAAAAAATGCATTTAATCACTGTTAACGATAAAGATCATTTATTATTGGAAAACAAGTATTATCAAAATTAATTTTTTTTTTTTTTTTTTTAGGTTCATAACAAAAAAAATTGAAACTTGTTAAAAATGATGAAACAAGATATGTCAGTTACAACCCTCAAGAAGCGAGAATACTTATAAAGATAGCAGAGGAGCAATACGGAACCGATAGTTGTAAAGTCTTAGCAGAATTTCAACGTATTGGTGTTTTTGTAGACGAACAAATTCAAAGACGTACAAATAATTTTAGAAATAAAGAACTCTTTGAACAAATCAATAATAATTTTGAAAACTTTGTTAAAAATTTAGTATGAGAAAAAACAAAATTTTACACTAATAAATTTTTTCATTCAATATATTGTCTCTTTCATTTTTTATAATATGATAACATTCCAATACATCTTTTTGAAAATATATTCCTTTAACTAATCCTTCACAATAATAACACAACTGTTGCACTATTAATTTTAAACTATTTACATAGTTTATTTTTTTATACCATTTGTCTATACAAGTAAAATAATAATAAAATTATTTAACACATCAAGACAATGTTCAATGACTTCACTATAGTTATGATAACACGTGTCGGAATAAAATACGCGATACGGAAGACATTTAAATAACATATCAAGAACTTTTATCAACTCTATTTGATGTCTTTATAATTTTTGGATCTTTAATATAAAAACCGTATACTCTTTTACAACTATCCATTTCGCTTTCTTCGGCTAAAAGAACTTTATCCATTGCAATACCTTGATTTAAATGCGTTTGCTGTAAATGTTTTTTTAAATCTAAATTGACTTGATATAAATATAACAAACAATTGTCCGTAGCATTAAAAGACATTTTGATAAATGAATTTTTTATTTACATATTTACATTTATTTACAAATATATTTTATATACAAACAACAAACGCGGCACCGTTCAAATAACTCTTGCACGTATGGGCACACGGTTGTTGCACAACAATGATTGTGTACACTTTCTTCTTCGCATTGGCAACAGGGACACCATCCATGCGCAACATGGCACTGTTAATACTCTGATATTTTGCAGCTGTTGATGGAATCAGCCTCTCTGAGAGCTACCATAGAGTTCGAGAAACCTTACTACTAGCCGGCCTCAGAACCATTAAACTGAGTTTTAGAGCTGTACCCTCATATGGAGATAACAGGAAGAGTTGCATAGCCATTATCAAGGAGGCATAAGCAAAATTCTATGAGTAGAGTCAAGGAGGTCCAGCATTCATCATCCTAGGCAGGAAACAATGTAACACAGGTTACATCTACGGCAGCCTAATAGATGAAGAAGGGGTTCGAGGCTGGTTAGCAGAATTTTTCTGCTTACCCCTAATGTCTTTGCCTAGGAGGCCTTCTACAAGACAGTAGCTGGATGCAGTTAACATCTGCCCAAGATGAGTATTTTTATCGAGACACCATCTCTAGCCTTTACTCAACCAAGAGCCCCAAGGCAGGGGATCTTCTTAAGACTCCTACTTATCAATAACTGGAACTATTTACAATTAACTAAATATTTTCTAATTTCTGTACTCAAATTTAAAAAAATTATAAAATAATAACTAAAAATAAAATAATATCTACACATTATATCACACATAAATCAATAATGATATATTTACCTTTTAAAATAACAATCAAGTTGAAATGCTAAATGCGAACACTCAATCTTTCTCAATCCTTCAGACAAAAGGTTTTCTTGTGAACGCTCATTTACTACATCAAATAAAAATTTCCAAAGATATCTATGTTGTGCCAAAATTAAATGCAAGCGCATGGTGGCATGAATTCAATAATCAATCCTTCAATTAACACTGTTCCCTGAAATAATAAATAATGTTTTAGAACACTTTTAATGATTTTCATATTTCAGAAGTATCTAAGTGTGTTATTATAAGATTCTTGTTATAAACATAAAATTAAAATAATAAAATTTTTTTTTACCCATTGTCCATAGTTGTCAGCAGTAAACTTCTTAGATTGTGCTGAATCTTTGTTTGGTCTAGGGCCTAGCTCAACCCTTGCATGTTCTTCACGTTCTTGTATATCAGCAACCAATTGAATAGGACCAATCTTTTTATTTACAGCGGCCCAGTCAAAAATTGGCAACTTGCAATGATTGCAACCATATGTTTGATTACTGGAGCATTTACCAATAACTTCATTAATAAAATAACTTCGTTAACAAAACTAAGATCTGCAACTAGAAATAAAATCACATTAAAGTGTTCAGTTTTACTACCATTAATACACACTGTTAATCCATTTTTAACTAGATTTTTAACTAGGAAAAAAACTCAAATTTTTCATAAAGAGAAGGGGTTGATAGGACTCTTCGTAGTGTTTCTTCAACATTACAAGAGTAACCAAAACACTCACAGTCGACACTAGCATCATTATGAGCATGTTGAATTAGACCTACATCTATATTAAGACAGTATTTTCTAAGGTTGTCATATGTAGGAATGTTTATATTATTTTTCTTGAGAATACCTTTTAAAACTTTATAAGGTCTCTGTGAAATTTCAATTTTATCCATCATTATTGAAGCAGTTTGTTGACAATCAAGATTTTTAACAGATGTTATAAACCTAAGCTTTTCAACAATATGAACTAAGAAATCAGTATTTTCATCTATAACTTCTTCAACAATTTCTGGGCACTCATTTATTATGTAGCTCACAAAACCTAAAAAAGTGATTTAAATTTTATAGATTCAATAAATTAATCAAAATAAAATATAGAACATTAGAACTACTTACTTTTTACATCACCATAGCTTGCTAACTCTACTAATGAATGAATTGTCTTATTCCGAGATTTTATAGCTTTTTTACTGAGAAGCGAACTAGTTTTTCCAGCACCACGTTTTCTTATATTCAGTAAATCAACTATTACACTGTTGTTGTTTTGTTTAATGTTATCAAAAGATGGTGTATCAAATTTTATTATTGGACAAGATATTTTATTGATTACTTCACTTCTATCCAAGCCAAAAAAATGAAAACCAGACCATTTTTTAGAACTAATATAGTTTAATTTGCTAAAAGCATCTTTAACAACAGAAGAGGAATGCAATGACTTGCAATCAGTTAATAAGTCAGAAACAATAATTCGGTAAACAGGACCATTATCTGATATATCAATCTTCATTGTTATAACCACATTAACATCATTCAGCTTTAATAACCTTTGCGCTTCATACCCTGGTTGAATACGACATTTAACTGATCCAATTGTTTTTATGTACAACAAACTGTCACAATTTATCGCAGTACCATAACTTACAACACCTAACCATGAGCACAATCTTGTGTTTGTGGGGGATGTTACATTTGATATAAGGGATTGATATTGTTTTCTACAATCTTCAGATCCGGATAAACTTAAACGAAACTTGAAGTCTTTAGAGTCTAATCCATAAAATCATTTTCCATTGAGTCTACCTTTTGTTTTTACACCAAAAAAGCAAATAATCTTACGATAAACTGATGTTGGATTAGTGCAGATATATCTTTTTTGTATATTTTTATCACGCATAACTATTCCTTCATATAAGGGTTTTCTATTTAATGATTTGTTAACATTTAAAATTATAAATGATTCTTCTCCCGAATTCGACACAAACTTTCTTTTTGCCGAATACCCATTAAATGGTTCTGTATCCCATGCATCACAGTCAACTTTTTCACCAAAGTTTAATATTCCTATCCATTCCATGTTTAAATAGTGAAATAAGTTTAAAATCAAGAGTTCAAAAGATATACGTTAATGTAAACCTTTTTATTTTTAGTATTTACGATAGCAAAGTAATTAAGGTTGTAAAAACTTTTCTCGCTTTCAATGCGGTATAACACAGAACATAAATACGACAAAAACAATTATTTTATTACAAAAATATGAATGTAATAATAAATTATAAATATAAGTGCTTAGTAATGTAATCCTTGAAAAATTTTTGATTTTCTCTAAACTTAAGGAGTTAAAATAATTTTTTTTGGCTAGAAACAGCAAAATATGATCAGAAGTACCATCAAAGATAAAGCATGAAAATAAAATATCCCGAGCGGATACAAGAATATCCCGAGCGGATACACAACTTTAATGTTCTATAATTCGAAGTAAAAAGATGATATTGACAATCTTTTTTCTGCTACAACGTACACTAATTGTTACAAAAAATAAAACAGGAAACCAAATTAAAAAAAAATAAAAAACCAGCGAGATATTTTTTTTTTAGTAAACAGAACTGAAAAAAAAGCGCAAAAAATCAGAATTGCACACTGATCTCTATAATAACTGGATAGCGCAACTCTGAACAAAATTTTGAATTTTTTGACGCCAAAATCGCCATATTGGAAAGCCCCAGATATTTGAATAAGTAAGCCTTTTAAAAAATAAGTAAGCCTTTTAAAAAATTTATTTATTATTTTTATTTTAAAAAAACCTTTAAGTAAGCGTTTGGCTTAGTTTTTCGACTAATCGCTTTAAAATCAGATTTTAGCTAAGTTGAATATACAATAATGTGCGGATTAAAAAAAGATCCCTGAGGTTCAGAGTGTTGTGCATATGGGTGCAAAAAAGGAAAAAAACTGAGGGTCGAAGAAGCAATATTTTAGGAAGTTAATATAATAATAATATTATTATCTACAATAAATCTTATATAGTTATTTTTATAGATATCAGTTCTTAATTAACATTCATATATATATATATATATATATATATATATATATATATATATATATATATATATATAATATATATATATATATATATATATATATATATATATATATATAAATATATATATATATATATTTATATATATATATATATATATTTATATATAATATATATATATATATATATATATATATATATATATATATATATATATATATATATATATATATATATATATATATATATATATATATATATGTATATATATATATACACACACAAATAGATAGATACAAATGTAAATCAGTATGCACCTTTTGATTCTTAATTATATATACTTTAATAAAACATTTTAATAAAACAATTACTGGCTGTTGTTTCAGAAATTACTAGATAATGGGATACCCAAAAAACTTGTTAGTTTGCTTACATTTTGGTATAGTAATCAACAAATGTTTGTTCGATGGCAAAAAACAAAATCAAATAGTTTTAGAGTTGTCCCCACTTCTATTTAACTTTTACATACAGAATATGATTTTATTAATCTCAAAACTACGTATTGGATGTAATATAGGTGGCTTATGCTGATGATGTGGTTTTAATTGCACCATCTTGATATTCTCTTCAAAAACTAATTAGCTTTACAAATAAGGAATCTTCCTTAATTAACATATTCTTTAACACTAAGAAAACTGTATGTATGGTGTTTAACCCAACTCAAAAATTATATCAAACTCCTTCCCAGAATTATGCATATCAGGCTGTAAAATTGTTTTTGTTGAATCTTTTAAATAACTTGGGCATATAATTAAAAATGACCTAACTGATGATCTTGATATAACCAAGGAGATGAAGGGTCTTTACACGCGTACAAATATTTTAACTAGACACTTTCATTTATGCTCTACCAGAGTAAAGGTCAAATTGTTTAAATTATATTACATTTGTTTATATGCTGCTCCTCTGCAGCAAAATTATAATGATAAAACAATGGCACGCCTTCATTATTGCTACAACAAATGTGCTAAAATGTTTTTTGGCTACAACAAGTATGATCTCATGCTTTTAGAGCACAGATTACCATCTCTTTATACAATTATCTCGAACTACAGACATGCTTCTTGTAAAAAGTTGATGGCTTGTTTCTTAGTAAATAATTCCATGTGTTCTCTTAATCAAAGTTTAAAAAAATATTTTTCTTGTAAAAACTTTGGACCTGGCACCTAAATTGTATCTGCCTGTTGTCTGATATATATTTAAAATAATAATAATAATAATAATAATAGCAATAATAATACTAATAATAATAATAGTAATAATAATAATAATAATAATAATAATAATAATAATAATAATAATAATAATAATAGTATATATAGATATATATATATATATATATATATATATATATATATATATATATATATATATATATATATATTTATATATATATATATATATATATATATATATATATATATATATAAAATATATATATATATATATATATATATATATATATATATATATATATATATATATATATATATATATATATATATATATATATATATATTAGTAAAAAAACTCATCTAACCAGTAAGAAATCTTTTTTCTTGGTTAGATGAGTTTTTGATGTTGAAGACAAAAATTAGATAAGTGTTTTAACTATTTTATTATTGCTGTTCTTAAGAACATTGAGCACTCTGTACTTGCAAAATGCTCTGGAATAACCTAACATAATTTAAAAAATTAAACAATAATTATACCTGTATTTCTTTTATTTTCTCTTTTGTTTTTGAGTACAATATTTTACAAGATTTATTATTATTCAACCATTAATTATCAGGATACAACTGATAAATGTAAGTTGAAATAATAATTACTTTCATAAAACTACATGTGTCTCTATATCTTTCATACTTTGTTTGATGAAAAACAATAAACGCTTAAATATCTTGTAACGTATGTCACCAAAATAGCAGAAAAAGAACTTAGTAACAACATATAAACTTAGTAGTTATATAAGTTAAAGCTATTATAAAGTAAGATTGCATCAAGTTGTAACAATAAACATTCTAAAGTAACCAGAGTAAATATTAATTTTGACTTTCAGCAAAGTAGTTTCATATTGAACATAAGAAGATTAATAAAGGTAACAAGTTTATACAAAACAAATACAAATTATTAAACAGTCTGTTCTCCTATATTCTTTATTTCCATTCAATTCTAATTTTGTTCGTGCTTTTTTTTTTTTACTTTTTCAATTTTCAAACTTTCAAACATTTTAAAAATAACAATATGATTGAAATATGCAACTTTAATCTAGTCAATGTAAAAGAAGTAGTAAGTAAAGCAATAACAAATCTTCAAGCGCAATCTCTGTATTTTCAAATTCCGTTCAGTTTTCTGGGGCTTTCCAATATGGCGATTTTGGCGTCAATTTTGATATTAGAGATGCGCTATCCAGTTATTATAGAGATCAGTGGAATTGCACTTCCACTAACTACTGTTAAATATCACATAACATAACAACTTCACTAACATAGACAAATTTGCAGTTTCTGGAAAAAATGCTTCAGGAGGTTTAGCAGTAGGTACTGTTGTTTCTTTGATTGTATTATATTTAGGCATTTTTAGGCGGTTCATTGGATTTTTGCTCAACGGTTACTTAGCGGACCATTAGTGGCAGCCGCTGTAAATGGCAAGCCGATAACTTTACGACATGTTAATAGCGGCTATTAATCGGCGCGCCCCTTTTGGCGGCCGATTAATAGCCACTGTTAACCATCATTTGTCATTGATCGTAAAGAACCAACAAATATTGTATCAAAGCTTCCCAGCAAACATTGATTTATGAAAACAGTACTTTTTAAAATATTTTTGTATTTATACATAAAAGTATCAAGAATTTCTTTATACCAATTCTATTTATTATTTTGTTTTTATTTTTATACCTGAATATTTTGTTATATTTTTTATTGTATAACGATTTTTATCTTAACTATCTTTGTATAAATTCATTGAGTATTTAAGAATAGAGAGAAAAAAAAGGTCTTTGTAATTTTTTATCAACACAAAAATGTGGAGCACTGTGTTTCCATATGTAGCGGTAACCAAGGTGACATCTCTGACATCTTTTGCCATTCAAAAAAAAAAAAAAAAAAAAAAAAAAAAATATATATATATATATATATATATATATATATATATATATATATATATACACAAGGAAAAAAAAGGTTTTTAGAATTCTTGCTCTATTTGAACCTCATCTACTTTGTAGAAATCCAAACAGAGTTTATAATAATCTTGAAAAGTATTGGCAACCTTTGAATGCCACTTTATCGGCAAAATAATCTGTATGGTGGTCGATTTAAAGGCAAATTATTATTAATTGTAAATGAAAATAAATAATTTCAAGGCTTTTTGTTGTTCAAGATAAGTAACCTCCAGCAGGGTTCATGGCAATTTTAGAAATCCATTTTCCCTGAGTATTTTCTCTGTTTTCAAGAGTATTTCCCTGAGTATTTCCTCTGTTTTGAAGAACTTTTCCCTGAATTCGGGTGGTGAAAAGTATGTAATTTTCCCTGTTAATGTTGAAAAACATTTTACTTTTACAACTGAGTCGATATTCCTTAAACATTTTTTATCAGAAATTTTGACCATTTAAATTTGTAACCCCCTCAAATTAAGGGGGGTTTAAAATTTAGATGGTCATAATTTTTGAATGCTAAAATATTTTACTATGAAATTTACAATTTATCGATAAATATCTAGTTGAGAATAGTACAACAAATGTTTTATAAACTTGTTACTATAACATTTGGGGCAACAAGTTTATAAATTTTTTTGAAAATCTTTAAAATCCCTGATTTTAAGGGGAGAGGGCAGTATTGTTATTTAAAAAAACTCTACCATTATAAACGCGACTAAAATTCGTCTATAAAATTCTTATTTAGTAAAAAAGTATTTTAACGTTTAAAAGTTAAGACCTCTAATAGAGGGGATTGTCAACTTTACAAAAAAAAAATTTTTTTTTCCACATTTGGGATTACGATTTTTTAAGCTTATAATGTTCCCAGGCTCCGTTCACTTTAATGTTCACTTTATTAAAACATTATTTGATTGCAGTATTATTATTATTATTACCAAATTTTAAGTTTTTAACATTTATTGAAGTTACCTATCTTGAACATCAAAAATCTATGAGCTGCTTGTTTAACCCCCTTATTTTTTTTAGGACATCGACTGATTTTCGGTTATAATTGTATGAAGTATCGTGGCTTCAAAAATGCGAACCGTTTCTGATGAATATTTTTTTTTCAAATAAATTAGTTCCGTTACGGTTTGTACCAAAATATATTTAGGAAAATAAAAAAAAACAAAAAATTATTGATATCATATAATTATGAAACAAACATACTATCACCCCAATTTTTTAGTTCTGTAGGGCAATCTGTATAGTTCGCTAAAGTCTCACGAATTTGAGATGCATCCACGTATAATAACATTGGCTTAAACTCTTTAGCTAAAGAATTACCAGTTTGATTTTCTGTACTTCGAATGAGCTCTAAAGTTAGAAGATGTTCGTAGGCTTTCATTGCGACTGCCTTTGAAATATGCACTCCCGTTAAACAGCTTTTTGAAAAGTTTTCGTATTCTAAAGAACCAAAATGAAAATCAGATCAAAATAGTCAAATAAGTGATATAGAAAAAACTTTATTTTCTTTTTTATTTTAAACTAATATTGTAAATTGAAAAAATGCTTTACTAACTCACTACTACATAACATATTTTTTCAGTTCTTTACTAATTGTGTTAGTTGCTTGGTTTCAACTGATGGAAAATTATTTTGAAGACTACGAATATTTGTAAAAGATGTATTGAAACGGTTAGGTTTTATGGTTTTTTATATTTATTATTTTCGGGTACTTTGGTTATGATTTAAGTTAAAGAGAACTTGACTCTATTCCCGACGGGCATTTGTTTTTAAAAGTTACGATCTAAATGTATTTTAAATGTCTTTTAAACGTCTTTTAAACAATAATGTTTAAAAGACGTTTAAAAGACGTTTAAAACACATTTAGAACGTAACTTTTAAAAACAAATGCCCGTCGGGTTGATTATAAATAGAGTATGACATCCCAAGCAATGAGCTATGCAGTTGCCTTCATCCTGCTAAAGTCGTAACTAAGGGCTCCTTATGTGGCCTCAAAAATACACACCAAAAGCAATAAAAGGGACACCATCTATGCGCAACACGACACTGTTATTAATCTGATATTTTACAACTATTGATGGAATCAGCCTTTCCTGAGAGCTACCAAAAACTTTGGGAAACTATACTACCAGCCGGTCTCAGAACATTAAACTGAGTTTTAGAAAAGTACCCTCATTAGAAGATAACAGGAAGAGCTGCATAGCTACTACCAAGGAGACACAATCAAACATTAGAGTCAAGAAAATCCAATATTCGTCATCCTAGGCAGGAAACAATGTAAACTCTTAAAACATCTAAAAGAATACTGGAAACTAAGGTGAAAAGTATGTTATTGGTTGCAATTACTAGTTGGTAACTGAGTTAACACTACACCAAAGATTGACTAATTTAATTAGGAACATGCTAATACTACACCAGACTGATTTAATAAGGAACATGCAAGGCATTATGATAAGCTAGCCTGAACCAGAATCTCACTTTTGTGTTATGTGTGTACTTGTTATATGTATAAAATGTATACTTTATAGTTCCACAAAAGTACACTTATGCCATAAAGCACACTTTATTGTGCAATTAAACTAGTGCAAGTAGATTGGGAATAAGGGATCGTCTAAAAATTACGCAACGCTAAATTTATTTAAAAAATAGAAGTAGGAGATCATTTGTTTAATTAAAAACTCTGCAAGGAAAAAGTTTTGATAATTTTGTTTTGTCTATTAGTTAAATTTAGTGTTGTATAGTTAATGGACGATCCCTAAAAGCAATTTAAAATCTTTATTCTAATAAAATTTTCAAAATTGATTTCAATTAATTCTGTTTGAAACTTATGAATGCATTAAAAAATTTTCAACTTTAATCAAACTGTAAATTCCTACCATTGTATACCATTTCAAAGTTAAAAGGCTGTCCTATTCTTTTTTCTAGCACATGCTTTGCAGCAACTATTAAACAAAGTTCCAATATTGCAAGTCCTAACAATAAAAAAATTCATGAAAATTTATTTTTAATGTTTATATAAAACTATTTATTAATCTTGTAATTAATTAAAAAAAAAGTAAAATTATCAAAACCTCTATCTTAGGGTAGGATATGTGGTATATTTAGTAATATTATTATATGGTTTATTATTTAGTAATATTATTATATATTAATATATGGTATATTTTTCTATTTAAAAAATAATATTAATGATCTGTTATACAATATTCTACCTGAAAAGTAGAAAATTAGACCTTACTAAGAGTATTATGGTAAATTAGACCTTACTAAGGGTATATAACATTATACTCTAAGGTAGATACTTCTTTCTTTTTTTAGAGTGTAAAAATGAAAAAAAAAATTATGCTATGCTATTCATAAAAAAATTTTATGCTATTCTACTCATACTTCAAACTTATTATTGTTGATAACATTTAAAATTATGTAAAATTATTTTATTAATTACAACTAATTATTTACACATTTTGTGCTCTTAAGAGTTTTTACAATTATTTAAACTTATACCTTGCATAAGAAATGATTTACTATCTGCATGAAGAGAGTTGTATGAACTATTGATGTCATCAACAGTAACAAAAGGATGTGCATAAGACAAATTACAGATTGGAATTGTCTAAAAACATTTCAAAATAACTCAAAATATGCGACTCTCCGCAAAGAAATTGAGCTTAATACGTTGGTATATAAAATAGCTTTAAATTGTGTTTAAAGTTAGACAATTTTTAGTTTATCAAATAGTAAAAAAACATTAAAGAAAACAAAACCAAGATTATATTATATTTAAAAATTATTTTTAACGGAGAAAAAAATTTATTACGTTTAACTTTTTCCTCCCAAACAGTTCTTAAATAAGATATATTTGATAAGTTATTTGTTTGTATAGGACAAATCTGCAGTCAATCAGAAGCAAACAAAAAATATGTTATTCCTATCTTACCTCCTCCTATCCCCCAAATTGATGGAAATATGTAAAACTATATTTTTATTTTTTTATGATTATATTTACACTTGATATTGCATTTTACCTAAACGAAAAGAGGCAGATTTGAGGTATTTACAATAACTATTTATTAAACCAAAACTAAGATAATACCTTCTGGTTTGAAAACAAATTTATTATTAGTCTACAGAAATTACATAGAGAAATTATGCATAATTTACTTTAATTTTCTCCAAGATAGTTCAAATCCAATTTTTATTACTTTGATAAAAATTATTTAAAAACAAAAATAAAGTTTTATAAAGATAGGTTAAAAACTGAATTTATATGGTTCAATCTCTCCATGACCACAAATCACAAGAGAAAAACATAAGATTACAAAATACAAAAACTAAAAAAAAAGCAAAATATCAGAGATAAAACAACAAATAAAAAAAGAATCATTAAAGTACCAACAACTGTATGATTCCTCCGATATGCTTTGTTATGTGAAATTGCTTTTTAAGAATGTCATTAAAATTAGAACTGTTGAATAAGTCCTAAAAACATAAAAAACAATTTAATTATGCTATGCTATGCTAACAATAACTGAATAAACAAATATTGGAAAAATTAAAGTTTGACTGGTCCTTACACTTCACACCCTCAAAGCTCACACCCTTGGCCCGGTCCTAGCTAAGTATGAAACTTTTTACGAACCTGGCCCAAGCAAAATTTTAAGATTTAACAGGGATTGATAGCCGGGACTAGGAAAAAATTTATACATTATATTTATGCATATATTTACTATTTATTAAATACTGGCAATATGGTTAGGATATAAACATATGTTTTATTTACATAAACTCTCTTCAACTCTTTAATTTTATCACTGATTAAGTATTTTTATAAAATTTTTAAAATTTTATAGTTATGGATTTATAGTTAATATTAAGGAAACCTTTAACTATTATATTGTATCACTTAAATATCATGTTGCAGCAACTTTTAAAAAATTTGTTTTTTCCCGCATTTTAAATCACATTACCGCATTTTAAATCACAAGCCACATTTTAAATCACATTTTAAACACAAAAACTATATAACCCAAAGGAGCAGAGTTTACCCGATGCAACCAATATAGTGTGAATTCAAAAAAAAACAACCTTTAAACTGATGGTGAATGTGTATTTTTTGAGAGATAACTTTCAAATTATCACAAAACATAGAAAATAAGTTATTTAACTAGAAAAATTAAAAATGATATAATAGATTTTGGTTCTAAGATAAATGGAAGTGTTTCAATTAAAGCGCTGTTCCAATTTCAAAAACTCTCTCTTATTTATACAGCGTATTTGCCAATTTAGATATTTTTTTAACTTTTAATGTTAAGAGCTTATGCTTTAATGTATAACACTTGCTAACATAAAAATTGGGAAATACAAATATAATATGTTTTTAATGTGCTACTTTGACAATCACCATCTATCATATTGATTGCACCGGGTAAACTACACTGGTATGGATTATACGATTTGTTGTGTTTAATGCACTGGGATTTAAAATTCAAGTAATCGCATAAACTTACTTTATAAGTTGCTGTAATTATCATGATTGCAGCATGATAATTGCTGTGATATAACAAAATAGTTTAAACTTTCTTTGATCGAAACTATAAAGTTTTCCTTACTTAATCAGTAATAAAACAAATGGGTTTTATAATTTTTTTTAAAAAAAGGCAAGTTGTTCTGGTCAATTACTTCTTCACCCCCTCTTAAAATTAAGAGTATGTATTTATTCAAAAACTCTTGGAGATCAACAAATCTAATTCGTCACACTGACAGGTTGTATATATATTATATATATATATATATATATATATATATATATATATATATATATATATATATATATATATATATATATATATATATATATATATATATATATATATATATATATATATATATACATATATATATATATATATATATGAATATATATATATATATATATATATATATATATATATATATATATATATATTCATATATATATATATATATATACATACATACATATTAGTAAAGAACATTTATTTTATTTGGCTTTTTTGTTTAATGTTTTTAAATAATGTTTTTAAATCTTAGCTTTGTAATTTATACTAATTTTGTAAAATTATTTAAACTATTTCATTTTTACATATATATTTATGTATATGTATTAAAATATAAAACTTACTTTAACATGAGTGTTCCAGCGATATTTAAAAATTGGACAATCAAAATAATCTGGTAGAGCCAACAACTGTCTAATTACAAAAAGAATATATATATATATATATACACCTATATTTATGTGTGTATATGTACACATAAATATAGGCATATATATATACCTATATTTATGTGTGTATATGTATATATATATATATATATATATATATATATATATATATATATATATATATATATATATATATATATATATATATATATATATATATATCTACTAAAGCTTTATCTAATTAAATACAAGATAAATTGTTAATGGTTTTTCTACTTTTATAGCATACTGCATTTTCAGAAAAAGAAAAAAACAAAGTAAAGAATGAAGAAAAAGATTGTAACCCCATGCCAAACCCTCAGTCAATGTAGCAGCACTCCTTTGTCCTCAGTTTGGCACTCCTCAGCAGGCTATAAGATAGTCTATGCATGCACTAATAGCTTTAGTTGCGAATGTTTAATAACACAACCTCTTTGCTTATCTTGATGATTTAAGTTTACAATTTAAGTTACTAAAGTAAAAAACCATGAAAATTAATTGAGTAACTAATGCAAGTTGTTTTTCAAAAAACACTGACTATTTTATTTTATTTTTATTTTTTTCCTTTATTTTCTTGTTTCTTAATTTAGATACATTAGCTAAACTTATTCATGGATGGGTGTAGTAATTGCACATACATCAACTGTTTTAGCCATTGATCCAGTAGAGTGTTTATAATTCAACTAATTTAGTCATAGATGCAGCAAGTGTACATGCATCGACTAATTTATTTAGCCATAAGAGCAGCAGAGTGTACATACTACTAAAGGTTTTGGTTTGTGGATGCAGTCTAACTATTTAAAGAAAAATCATTTTTGTTTCTCTTTTCTGAACATAAGTATGCTTATTATGAAACAAATATATATAAAAGTATATATGTGTGTGTTTGTGTGTGTGTATATATATATATATATATATATATATATATATATATATATATACATATATATATACACACACATACATACATATATATGTATGTATGTGTGTGAATAATTTGTTGAATTTTACCCCTGGCAACCAGACGAACTGGTCTTTGTAAGACCAGTTCGTCTGGAAAATTTAAATTTGCTGTTTAATTTTGAATATCAATGTTGGTGTTGATTTATCTTTTAATTCCCAAAGACTGCAATAAAGACATACCAATGTACGTACTCCAATAAAGACATGGTATGGACATATACTTACATATTAATTCACCTGTTTATTGTGAAATCAGGTTCAAGGTCTTAGAATATTCTTTTATTTGCTTACATTCAACACCTCTTCACTCAATCATCTTTTTTTTTATTCTTTGTCATTCTCATTCTCCTTAAGTCTGTACTTTTTTCAATGTTATTTCTAATCAAATTGAACAAGCACTCATCATCCCTCAGCCAGTATTTTTTTTACTGGTGACTAAATGACATTTTAAACTAATAGTTTAAATTACATTTTAAACTAATAGTTTAAATCACATTTTAAACTAATAGTTTCTCTGGTTCACTAGTCACCAGTCTCCGAGTGCTGGAGAATGAAAATAGCTTTTGTTTTGTTTCTTTAACAAAAAGTATATATACACAAGGTTATAAAAAAATTGTTTATTGCCATAATTATAGATGCAGTAGAATTATTGCTTTTTTAATTCTTTAAATTGGGAAGCCTTTTATAATTAAATACTTGTTATTTTACTTCACATCATAATTAAGCATTTCACATCATAATTAATTCTTATCCTAATTAAACATTTCATACCGTAATTACATTAAACTATTATAAATCAATCAAATAAATAAATAAAAAAGTACTCTATGTTCTTAAAATGACAGAACAATAATAAATTAGTAGAAAATCACTTTTTATTACTTTTTTTATTTTACACTGTAAAACTTTACACATTATAAATGAAAAATATTTTTCTTTGATAAAAAAAATAATAAATAATAATAATAATATATAATAATAAAGTTTAAAAATAATAATAAATAATAACAATATATAATAATAAAGTTTAAATTCAAATATTTACTATTTAGTGATTAAATTTTAACAGATTTATAGTTTCTCAGCTATAAATGCATTTTTAGATGAGCACTGTGAAAACAATACTGAAATAACCTGCTTTAGTGCATAGATTGATTATCTTACAGCCTGCTGCCAAAAAGGAGTGCAGCTACATTGAATGAGGGTTTGGCAGGGGACAATAATCTTTTCTTTCATTATTCTTTGTTTTTTTCTTCTTTTTCTGAAAAAGCCTTAGGCAATAAACATAAACAAAACTAGTAAGCATTTGCTGATCTAGATGCGCCACTTTTCTGTAAGGAAATTTGCAAGGTTTTTTTTTGTTAAAAAGATATTTTTATCAGTGCCCAATGTGTGTGTATGTGTGTAAATATATATGTATATATAATATTGCTACTACATAGGACACATAAACAGTTTACATGTAAACATTGTTCAGTTAAATACAAATAATTACGTATTTGTATCATTCTTCATGTAAACAAACAAACGCAAGACATGCATATGCATTTTTTTTTTCCTTTTATAACCATATGATACTTTTAAATTAAAAGTATTATATGGTTATAAAAGGAAAAAACATAAATTTTATTAAAAGTTTTAATATAATTTATGATTTACATAAATACCAACAGCTTAGATTAAAAACAGTATTTTACAACAAGAGATCTACTTAAAAAATTATATTAAGATTATTATAAGAATGTACTGTATTTTTAAAATTTTTTTCTTCGCTGTTTTCATCAAACAATACCCCTTACTAGGCTATTACTACTTACTAGCCTATTCTAGGAAAAAAATTTATTCTAGTAAAAAAATTTAAAGGAATTTTAAATTTCTAGGAAAAAAAGGCTATTACTACTTAATAGTTCATACTAGGCTAATACTATTTACTAGCCTATTCTAGGAAAATTTGGGCGGCAAAACCCCCTCGTTCTGGCAAACTTTAGCGGAAAACCAGCATTTTTCTTTCGCAAAAAAAAAAAAACAACAAAAAAAAAGGTCCTCAAATTTAAGCGCCCAAATACAGTCGACGCTATCGAAAACGGTCTAGAATAGCCCCTGCTTACTAAATACTTAAAACCAGTACTCCATGTAAGACAAGGCAGGGTGACTTTTTAAAGTATAAATATATATATTACAATGATAAGATATTTCGAAAATACTAAAAACCGCCCAGTTATGTTTTTTTCCCTTTTTGAGCACTGCTTTAAAAGTAAAAGGTAAAACACAAAGTTTTATTTTACAAAATCTACTTAAAAGATTATATAAAGACAATAATAAAAAGAATAATGAATAATAATAATAAACATAAAAAAAATGCATCCAAACATAAAGAAATTTGTTTTGCAATGACTTCTTAATGCAGTGTATTTTTTCAAAAAAAATCTTTAAAAAACTGAGACTAAATATTATGGTTATTTTTTAGCAAATTGTTCAAAACAAAATCTACTGTCACCTACCTAATTCTAGGGAAGAGTTAAATATCTAGGCAGAGTGAATGATAAAAATTTATTGATTGGGTAGTTGTAATTTTAGGGTTAGGTGAAGAAGTTAGTGTATTTTCTTTTTTTTTTCACTTTTTAAAGTTTAATTCTTATGCAATCATTATTTTTATTACACATATTTATATCCTGTTTACACTAGAGAATTAGAATACTAATTTACTGCGTGGTGTTTACTGTATTTTATTTTATACTGTACTGTATTTATAAATTGTTTTTCCACTATATTTTCATCAAACAATATCCGTTATTAAATACTTAAAATTAGTACTCCAAGGACGAGATGACCTTTTAAAGTATAAATATATATAGCAATGATAAGGTAGTATTTTAAAAATACTGAACTATTCCTTTATGTTTTTTCCCTTTTTGAGTACTGCTATAAAAGTAAAAGGTAAAACACAAAGATTCTATCATTATACTACCACACTATTAGTGGTTTATATTAGCCATATACATTAATAACATAAATTCAAACTATTTTAACAATTGTTTCTCTTATGCAACAGAGAAAATATGAATGAATAAAACAACAATTTTAAAAAAGAAATTTACTTGTTCAAACAATCAATGGATAATATTTTTTATATTCTTTTTCCAACTGATTCAGGATAAGAGATTGTCTAGTTTGCAGCTACCAAAAGTTGAAACTAGATAAACAGGCAGGATATAGTTGAAACTAGTTGAATAGGGAAAATAGATAATTTGTAAAAAATTATTTTCACTTGAGGTTCTGAGATTCAAAATCTAATGAAAACTCCTCTCTGGCTATCATGCCGCCATCATATTTTGAAATTATTTGCTGGGTCATTTTGGAAGACTATTTTTTTGGAAAACTGGAAAAGTCTTTCTTAAAAAAAATGAAAATTGCATTTACTTTAGGTTTGAAATATATACATAAAAATAAACATATAGAACAAATTCAAATAAAATATCTTAGCTTTAGGGCAAGGCTACAAAAAACAAAATTTTTAAAGTGGTCAAAAATTATTTTTTGATTTAGCAAATACAAATAATTTTTAAGCCTCTTTTATGAGTAACAAGACATAAAATATTGTTCATAATAAATATTTCCTATTGATATAAAAATCCTAATCTCTTTAATCTCCTTTCCTACAAAATCCTAATTTTGACATACTTTAGGCTAAAAATGAAAATAATCAAATCAAATTCGGCAGCACTCAAAAATGTTTTTTTCAATTTTTTCTTTTTGTTTTATTTGTTTGCATTCTTATGTGTTAAAATTTGTTTGCAGACGTGCACTTTTCAAAATTTTTGATTTTTGGCCTGCCCTTAGTCAAAAAAGAAGTCTTTTTTATAACTTTCGTTAAAACTTTGTTAATCTTTGGCCTGCTTAAAACTTAAATAATCTTAATAAAAAGGTTAAAACTTGAATAATCTTAATAAAATAAAGCTCAATTTAAAAGCTAATTTTTAAAAGTAAAAAATATTTTTGAAAATTAAAAAGCATCCTAAACATTTAGAGTTAATGCAAAATCATCCCCCATCCCCCTCTTACTTTTTAACATTCAATTTTTTTGGGGTAATATTTAGGCATAAAAACATTAATCTTAATATCAAATTGGGCAGTACTCAGAACCATCTTATTGCACTTTTTTTTTAAATAATACTTTTATTAAGTTAAGGAACAACATTTCATGCAGGCAGGTGTAATTTTCAATGTCTTCACTAATCAATGGGAATCAAACCCCATATTTCATTGATTTGAATAAATCAGTATAATTTGTAGACTTTATGCTTAACACTTGACGGTCAACATATTCCTATCTTTATAGGAATATTAAGCATAAAGTCTACAAATCATAATTTTCAATTTGTTCAATTGGATTTTGGTCAGTCTATTGGAATGACCACTTTAAAACACGAGCTTTATTTTTCTTGAAGAATTCTTGATTGTTATCCTGATGGTATCCTTCAACAAGGCATTTTAACCTTTGCATGATGTAACAATCCTCTTATATATGTCTTCGTTTATTGTTTTAATGTAGCAATAGAGTGGAGCAACATTCTCTAACTAAAACATCCCTAAAGCATTGAGTTACCTCTTCCATGTTTTATGGTAGGCAGTTGGTATTTAGGATGTACCTATATTGTACATATTAAGTGTCAAACACTTTGACCCTTTCATTGGATCAGAACAGCATAACCTTGTTTTATTACTTACAAAAAAGAGTTATGATGCAAATTCTTTTCTGGAGTTTTGGGTTTTCAACGAAATTTTTTGCTAAACATCTTCCAAATAAATTAGCATGACGTTTTGTAACAACTCATTCATAGAAATGTCTTATTTTATATGTCTTATTAAATTTAAATCAACAGCTGTCAAATCAGGATTTTCTTTGTGTTTTCTTTTGTGATTTCAATCTCTTATAAATAAAGTTTCCAATTATTTTCAGCAAGAATTCAATTACAATATCAATAAATTAGGAACTTTTTGAAAAGTTTAGTTTGTCCACAAATTTTTGAACTTTTGAACGCAAAATCATTACTTTTCCAATCAATTAAAGTACGTTAATAAATTATCAATATTTATTTAAAACATAATAGTAAGCATAAAAACATAATTATCTTTAGTGAAGTATGTGTATGTATTTAGTGAAGTACAAAATATATGTATGTGTTTAGTGAAGTACAAAATATGTGTATGTATTTAGTGAAGTACAAAATATGTGTATGTATTTAGTAAAGTACAAAATATGTGTATGTATTTAGTGAAGTACAAAATATGTGTATGTATTTAGTGAAGTACAAAATATGTGTATGTATTTAGTGAAATATAAAGTATGTACGATTAGTAAGATTAAATTTTTTTAAGCCTTTTTTTGAACACCACTGCAAGTGTAGAGTAGAAATAGATTTAGAAAAAGTAAGAGTGCTTACTTAAAATAGTCTGTGTAAGTAGAAAAATCATATGTTGGGAATGTTAAAATCGATCGATGAGAATAACGAGACTTAACTCTCTTTTCCAATAATTCAACAACGTCCAATCGACAAGTAATTCCAATAACACACATTGGATTTTGTTGACTCATCGTGATGTCAAATAAATTATAAAGAAGTGTTTGATTTTTGTGAGAAGCAAAACAATCAAATTCATCCAAAACTATTACGATTGATTTAGACTTTGCAGTACCTAAAAAACAAAATAGTTGCATCTATGAAAAAAAAACTGTAATAAATAGGACTAAAAACATAATACATAATTTTAAAAAATAACCAAAATTCTGGATTCAGGAAATGATCAAAAAAAAAGTTTATAGAAACATAATCTTTGCATACTAATTAAAAATTTTTCACCACAATAACAGTAAAAAACAGTAAAAAAATTTATATTTTATTTTGATCTTGTAAATTTTCACAGCCGCTTTTGTAGAACTTAATTATTTTGAAGTTAAACGAGTTTAAACAAACATTTAATTAAATCAATAAAAAAATTGAAATTGTAAATGTAATATTTGCATGTAATATTTGCATTTAATATTTTGTTAAAAAAGCTAATTTTAACCCTTATATCTAAAAATTTGCAAAGAAAAAAAAAAAAAAAAAATTACTTTTTAATTTATATATATTTTAATGATTCTTAGTTTTTTAATTTTTTTGTTTAAAAAAGGTCCTCCAACTCTTATTGCGACCAATTATTAAAAAAAGTCTAATTCTTTATTATTATTTTAATATATTACATATTTATTTGTTAATATTAATTCAACAAACAACAAAATCATTTTAAATTTGGAAATAATAAAACACTTGCCATTTTTTAATGCTTCCAAAACAAATGCCAAGTTATCTGAAAATGAGCCCTACACCAAAAGTAAGATTAAGTTTAAAAACAACAATATTTATAATAAAATATAAATTTATAAAAAATTTATATTTTATTAAAAATTTATAAATTATATTAGACAAGTCTATAATAGGATCTGAGCAAAAATTTTAAAAATATTTCAATCCACACAAATGTAACAAGAATCTCTAACACACTCTCTTGAGATTTAAAAATATTCAGTGAATATTTCAATCCACACAAATGTAACAAGAATCTCTAACACACTCTCTTGAGATTTAAAAATATTCAGTGAATATTTCAATCCACACAAATGTAACAAGAATCTCTAACACACTCGCTTGAGATTTAAAAATATTCAGTGAATATTTCAATCCACACAAATGTAACAAGAATCTCTAACACACTCTCTTGAGATTTAAAAATATTCAGTGAATATTTCAATCGACACAAATGTAACAAGAATCTCTAACACACTCTCTTGAGATTTAAAAATATTCAGTGAATATTTCAATCCACACAAATGTAACAAGAATCTCTAACACACTCTCTTGAGATTTAAAAATATTCAGTGAATATTTCAATCCACACAAATGAAACAAGAATCTCTAACACACTCTCTTGAGATTTAAAAATATTCAGTGAATATTTCAATCCACACAAATGTAACAAGAATCTCTAACACACTCTCTTGAGATTTAAAAATATTCAGTGAATATTTCAATCCACACAAATGAAACAAGAATCTCTAACACACTCTCTTGAGATTTAAAAATATTCAGTGAATATTTCAATCCACACAAATGTAACAAGAATCTCTAACACACTCTCTTGAGATTTAAAAATATTCAGTGAATATTTCAATACACACAATGTAACAAGAATCTCTAACACACTCTCTTGAGATTTAAAAATATTCAGTGAATATTTCAATCCACACAAATGTAACAAGAATCTCTAACACACTCTCTTGAGATTTAAAAATATTCAGTGAATATTTCAATCCACACAAATGTAACAAGAATCTCTAACACACTCTCTTGAGATTTAAAAATATTCAGTGAATATTTCAATCCACACAATGTAACAAGAATCTCTAACACACTCTCTTGAGATTTAAAAATATTCAGTGAATATTTCAATCCACACAAATGTAACAAGAATCTCTAACACACTCTCTTGAGATTTAAAAATATTCAGTGAATATTTCAATACACACAAATGTAACAAGAATCTCTAACACACTCTCTTGAGATTTAAAAATATTCAGTGAATATTTCAATACACACTATGTAACAAGAATCTCTAACACACTCTCTTGAGATTTAAAAAATTCAGAAATTCTAAAATTTTTAAATTATAACAAATGTCTTTATATACTGAACAAATGAAAAATTATATTACAAAAAACGTACAAATACTTTATCTTTTGTAACATTTTCTAGTTGTAACTGCCTGGTCATATCTTGCAATGACAATTTATCATCAGTATGTATAATACCTGGGAAAAATACACTATATGAATAACAATAGTAAATGCCTATGTAAAGAAATGACACAAAGACAACAATAAGCATATAAAAGAAAGGTTTACCACTTAAATACACATAATAAAAGCTTTCAACATTTTCATTGTGCAATTCTGCCAAAGTTTTTTCAACTAACTAAAATAAATTAATTTTTATGAAGTTAAAGTTTTGTTAAAACAGTTTTTTTTTTCAAAAAATAAAACAAATTAAAAAATTTTTAGTGTAGTTTAAGTTACCTTAGATTTTCCACTACCTCGCGGTCCAATAACTAGAACTGAGTTACTTTCCCCTACATTAATACATTGATTTAAAACAGCTTTTAATTGGCTAAAGTAAAAAAAACAACAACAACAACAAAATATTTCGTTCAAAACTGCTTACAAATAAAAAAAAATTCCTATTACTTATTTACAAGTGTTTATATGTGATAACAAAAAAAAAAAAAAAAAAAAAAAGATAGAAAAAGATAAAAACAATGACACAAAATGACAATATATATAAAATAAAAATACAAAAAAAAAAAAAAAAAAAATGACACAAAATGAAAATATATAGAAAATGAAAATACAAAAAAATATAGTGATATTAAATGGATAGTAACATAAGAGATGATGGTAATTATTTGTTTCAAAAACTTCAAAAAAAAGACAATAGAATCAAGAAAACTTGTAAAAACGAATTAGTTTTTAGTAATAAGTAAAAAGTAGACTTTCAGAACATATAAAATTCAATGTAAAAAAATGTGCATTGAGCTTATTGAGGTCATTCAAACATATTTTATTATTTTTAAAAATAAAAAACAGTTAAAAACTTATATGTAGTCTGTACTTATGTGTCAATATGTACTTATGTACTGTCTGTACTTATGTGTATGCATATTTTTGAAATATTTGAAATATAAAGTCAAACAATATACTCTGACTGAAAATAAACAATCAAACAAACATGCTTCTTATCTCTATTTCTTATCTTATGTGTATTTAAACTTAAAAAAAAAAACTTACATTGACTGTTCTGTTAGAAAATTTTCCAAGTAAAAATTATTTTCATTTTTGAAGAGTCTCTTCTTTAACAAATTAGATACTTGCAATGGACACGTCTGACCATCAATACAACACTGGATAGTTTCATTGTCACTTAACTTTGTAACTTCAGATTTTCTAACAATATTTTTTTTTGGCATAACTCATAAAAACTAAAACTAATATATTTATATACTAAAGTAGTTAAAAAATATATAACTACACTTTAATAATAATATAAATATAATTAATAATAATATTACAACTATTGATACAAAACTATAAAAAAAAAATTATTGCATTATAAATTTATAACTATACCTGAGCAATAAAAAACATTTATATATTATGCCAAAGTCACATTTATATACAAACTATGAGACATAAAAAACATTAAAAAAGACAATATGTGATAAAAAAATATACTCATGTATATATATATATATATATATATATATATATATATATATATATATATATATATATATATATATATATATATATATATATATATATAAATAATGTTTATTGTATTAAGATTAGAAAATGTCTGATGTGTGTATGCGTATATATATATACCCGAATATACTTAACTGTTTTTTAACCTGTTGAGAGAGTAAAAAATGTTTTGTAGGAAAATAACAAACTTTTTTAACTTCTTTATCAAAATTTAAATTTTTTTTCCTAGAATAGACCCTGTATAAATATATATATATATATATATATATATATATATATATATATATATATATATATATATATATATATATATATATATATATATATATATATATATATATATATATATATATATATAATTATAGCAAAGAAAAATAACAAAGAAACTCTAACAAAACATAAATATACTCTCGAAATTTAAATTAAAAAAATAATCTGAAAACAAACTTTTTTTAAAATAGCTTATGTTCTTAAAATAATTATAGGTATTAAAACATTATTTTTTATACTAATTGTCATGTATTCATATTATTTCATACAAAGCATACTTATCTCTCATACTAATGGTGTTATTAAAATTCCATAAAATGTGAATTACTTTATGTTTATAAACTTTTCAAAAAAATGTTGATCAACATAAAACAAAAACAAAGTAATAAGTAGAAAAAATAAAAAAATGATAAAAAATAAAACATAAACAGTAAGAAACAGAACAGTAAATGTAAAAAATACTTATAATAAATTAATACATTACTGTAATATTAAGTACAGTGTTTCAACCTACACTGCATTCAATTAAAGTAATAACAATTACAAAATACATAATTAACATAAATAACAACTAATCTAAAATAATTTCAATTTTAATTAACTAGTTTAAAATAATCAACACCTAGCAATTTTTTGGATATTTTAGTACTCTTGGTTTTTATATGTTCAAAACACGTCATCTTCTTCAAAACATACATTATGTATCAAACCTTCTTGATGTACTTATTATTATTAGATGGCATCCATAAAGTAAGTATGCAGTAAAACCACTGAATTAAGACCTTCATGCTCTTATATATGCAATTTTATGCTTTCAACAACCCTCCTGCTGTGTGTATACACATTATTTATTACAAAACCAACTTTCTCCTCAACGCATAAAATTTTTTAAACATTAAAAACAAAAACAAAAAACTATTAGTTGATTCAACTTATCTATGTTGCATAACATAATATTGATTTTGTAAACTCATGAAGTTTTGTTTTAAAAATATAAGAAAAAAAGAAATCAAGTTTTAGTAATGATAGAATGAGAGAGCCAAACTGGGTACATACTTGCTGTTATTAACACCATCCTTCTTTTGTACACACCGTATGTTTTTGAGTAGCCCCTACCTCACACATGCATATGTACTTTATAGAGGACCACTAATTCAGTTCTGTTTTTTTGTTGTTTCTGATAAAACTTGACTAGATTTTTTTTGATTTTGACAAAAAATTTGTTCTTCAATTTTGAAAAATTTTTCTATAAGTTACAATGTTTTGATCTATCAGATCAAAATTTTACCTCATGCAACAATTTCAACCATATAATCAGACATTTGAAAATTTATTAACAACTTCATGCAACAATTTCAACCATATAATCAGACATTTGAAAATTTATTAACAACTTTGTGGCAGTGCAAAAAGTTTTCAACTGTTGATCTTAAATAAGATCTGTTAAGAATACCCCCAACTTAAATACCTTCCTAAAATTAATTGGGTTCCAACAACCACAGTGCTTTATTTTAAATTGAAATCTTGAAAATCACGGAAAATTAAAATAAGCCACACACCCAAATACAAATTTGAATAGAAACTTTTTTCAGATACAGGTTTAAGGAAAATTTAATGAATTATGCTTCACGCTTCAAACAATATGACCAACAAATTAAGATTACAATAAGGCTTTAAAACTTTTTGCTTTGGTAAATGTAATTTTTTAATCACATTCACCAAATTTCAATGAATTTCAGATAAATTCTGCTTCATTTTTAAATTCATAAGTTTTTTTTACATTTAAAACTTTTTGAACTTAAAATAGAAAAAATAAATAGAGAAAGTGTTAAATGTGTATTAATTACTTAAAATTATAGAAAAGTTTGAAATCGTGGATATAAACAGAATTTTTCTGAATATTTTTACACGCCTGTCATTTTACATTTTCTCACTAACTATTACTATTGTTAACAAACTTATAAACATTAATGCATTTATTCTTTTGTCAAAAATTATATTTTGATAAAGGAATTTAAAAAAAAAAAAAAAAATCTATTTTTTGATAAAAATCATTTTATTTGTTATCAAAAAATACTATGGTTCTTACAATAATAAACCAATCAAAATTGTCTGTTCATAAATTAGATTTGTTGACCTGCATTCTTAAACACTATTTCAAGTAATAATCTATTTCAACCATTTTATTATTTTTTTCTGCCACCACGTTCTTTTACTTGCAACTGAACAAGACTTGTAGGTGAAAAGTTATAATATGCAAGGGTGTTTGAATCTTTAATGAAAAAGTTCTAAAAACATAAATTTATATGTGAATAGAAAAAAAAAACTTTTTAAAAAAACAACAGCTAAAAAACAAATTAAAGTTTAAAAAGAACGTACCCCTATTTGCAATTTTTGTTTACCAGCAGGCATGCCAATCATGTCATTTATCTTTGACTTTATAACAGAGCACTAAAACACATTTTAAATTGTTTTATACTGTATGCAGGCTTAAAATATCAATTACTAAATAAACCTCTAGCATGCAGGCTTAAAATATCAATTACTAAATAAACCTCTAGCACGCAGGCTTAAAATATCAATTACTAAATAAACCTCTGGTATGTAGGCTTAAAATATATTGTAGGCTTAAATAAACTAAATTTTTAAGTAGACCTCTGGTATCTTTCAATACTAAATAAAAATCACTACACTTTAATAAATCTTATTTTTTTTTAAATAAATAAATTTGTTTTATTTATGAAAAAAACTAAAGATTTTATTACAATAAAGAGAAATTTTCACTCATTAAAACTAAAAAGAAAGTTTTCTGAAAGATATTAGGATCTGAATTTATGTTAATATGAAACTATATATACAGTTTATTTTTTATTAATTTAATCAAGACCATTCTAACCTTTCTAACCCTGACTTTATTATTTTTAAACAGATATTTAGTTGTTTATTATTGTTATAATAATATAAGTAAAATTAATTAGAAAAACTCTTTTAACATCAAATTACTTACTTGTGTTGTAAGAGGCAGGGTTATTGATATTACTTGGCCTTGGCACTGCCACTCTGGTTTTTCAGGAATTTCAGGAACTTGTACTCTGAATGTAACAGGAAGTTTATTATTTTGTAGAAACTCAGCCTCAGAAACTAACTCTGTATCTGTTTCATCAAGTTTAGATTTTTTAGATTGAGGCTCATCATCATCTTTTGGAGGAGGAAGGATTAAAGGTGCTTCCTCTCGAACAGGTTGTAATATTGGTGGAGCAGGAAAAATTGAACCAAGTGGAGGGACCATTAATCTTGGTGGAGGCATCATCATTGTATGAGGGAGAGGAATAAGTGTTGGAGGAGCCATACGAATAGATTGTGGTTGTGGAGCTGGAATACCAGGAGCAACAGGAGGTTGTGGAGGAAGTTGAGGTGTAACACTGATGGGTTGAATAAGTTGAGTTGCTGGAGGGGGTATTGAAGGAGTTGAAGGAATTGAAGTGGTTATAGATGTATTTTCTGGTTGTGTAGTTTGGCTAAATCCTGATTGAGCAGATTGGTTAAATATTGGTTGCGAAATAGTACTTTGAATAGAAACTGGAGCAGGAGCTTGTGGTAAAAGAAATGGTTTGGATACAGGAGTTTGTTGTACAAAAGACTTGGATGGTTCAGTATTAGAAGCAGTGCTGTTAGGTATTGCAGGTCCAATTTTTTCAGCATCTTCTGATGGTCTATAAATAGTTTAAAAAAAAAAGTTTAAATATCGCAACTGAAGACCCTTGTATTTGTATTGCCTGAGGTCGGCAATACAAAAACAAAGGTTTTACCATAATAAAAGTTTTTTAACATAATACAAAGGTTTTACCACAAAACATAAAAACAAGGTCGGCAATTTTTTGCCGACTTAAAATATTTTTAGGTTGGCAGTTAGGTTGGCATTGCCGAATGCGGACCCTATATCCGAGGGTTGTATATATAAATTTATATAAGCCTTCCCAGGAACCAGGAAGCGTCTGTGGTTGCTTGCTTTGTTTGTCAACATAAAAGTAACTTTTTAAGACACACTGACCATGGCAGTTAGCTTCTTTTAACTTTAAAAAGCGTTTTAATTATTCGCAGCAAAAAGCTAAACTTATCTACTGAGAAAAAAAAAAAAAAATTAAAAAAAGGAAACAAAATTGAACAAAATATCAAATTTCAATTAAGTAAAATAGTAAAATTTAATAATTAAAAAAAGAAAATTAAAAAAAAGGATAATTTTATATAATTTTATACAACTTTTGTATTCTTTTTTTTTTTTAGGGTGGTTGATATTTTTACCTACAGAATTTGATACAATATAGGAAAAAAAAACATATTTTATAACAATTTAATAAAAATTGAAAGTTTTGATATGAAATTTATTCAGCATTTTATCAGTCCGTATAATTAAGAAACTAATTTGTTATGTATGCTAGAACTATGAGAAATTTTGGTAATTTTTCTCCTTATGTTTATTTGTTTATACATGTTTTTGCTTTTAAAAATATTTTTGCCATATTTGACCTTTTTTCTCAATACTCATAATAGGAAAGTAAGAAAATAAATTTATTTGTTTGCTATTTATTTGTAAAAAATATTAAATAAAAAATTTTATGACGGAAAAAATTAAAAAAAAAAGAACTGCATGGTTTCTTTTAAAAATGTATATATGTGTTATGTATTATATATTTTAAAAATGTATTTATGTATTATGTATTTAAAAATATATTTGATGCCTGTCTGAAACTATTTCCATTATATTGCCTAATTTCCAAAGTTATTACGAATTACTAGAAATAATGAACATAATAATAGCTCTGTGTGATAAAATGTATTTAAAAACCTAAAACAAAGTTTTAAATAGGCTCCTGAAAACTTAGTTAAAAAAGTTCAGTAAATTAACAATGCACTAACCCACAACCTTTTAGAGCATCGCCAATAACAATAGTTCATCAGGAAATAAATTAGGCTTAAATGCACAATTTGAAGAATCTAATGAAAGTGCAGACTATTTCAATGGGGATATTGAAAACAATCAAATATTTTATATTTGAACATTAGTAATATTGATTTTATTTTTTTACATGAAAAACATGTTAAAATATAAAAACATTTTTTACAAATAAATAGCAATTACTTTTCTTGCTTTCCAGTGCATTGATAAAAATAGTAAAGTTTAGCAAAAACATTTGAAAAACAAATTTTAAAATTATCCATATTTTTAGCACAAACAATGGATCCATTCGGAACTCCATCTCGTCGAATTTTTCTCCGAGTTCAAGAGAAATTGAGAAACTTTGATGGAACTTTGACAAAGTTTTTAGAAATTATCAATTTTTGATCATAAAATAATTAAATTTTTGCTTTATACGCTGCTTTTACAATAGTTCTTCTTGTTTTTATAATTTAAGTGTTCTCTTTGTTCAATAACAACACTAATTTACATCGCAAAGCAATTGGTAGTGCACAGTGGGCCAGGTGGTGGTGGTGGAAAAACCCTCAAATAAAAGGCTTACTCTATTCAAAGCCATATAATAAAACATACTTGTACTTTTCCATTGAACTATTTCAAAAACTCTTTCAAGTATAATAGTATCTTTTTAATAATACCTTTTAATAGTATCTTTTTAATAGTACCTTTTTAAATGCACAAAAATAAATTGCAGTATAATAAAATGTAATGCATAATAAAAAACCTTTTTTTTGTCAAAAAAGCAAGAATTTTTTAATTTTTAAGCAAAGATAAAGTTAAACAGTAATTTTTAAAATATTATGCCTATATGATATTAGTTATATTTTAACTATTCAATATATTTATTAACATATTTTAACTATTCAATAGTTTTAGAAAAAAAAAAATTTAGTCAAGATTATTATTTATAATATATATAAAATATATATAAAATATAATTATAAATTATAAATATATTTATAATATATATAAAATCTGGTCTTAATATAACGAAGTAAGTTTTACTTTAATAAGACTACTTGTACAAAATGAAAGTACTATATATTTAAAACTTTTAAACATTTATTAATTTTATTTTGTACTATTTTGTTGTATATCATATAATCAAAATAATTTTGTCCACTGTTTATTTTGTACAAGCAAAATGTTGGAGTCGTTATTTGCATCCAATTTTTTTTTTAAATAAAAAATATTTTTTTACACTTCCCAAAAAGATATTCAAGTCTATGCTGCAAAATTATTTGATCAACTATTTGCGACAAAAGAAAATAGTCTCCAACTAAAATCAGATGATAACTCTAAAAGCAAACAAAGAGAACCACCACAATCAACATCTTTTTTTGCCGAAATTCAAGAAGTTCTAAATCAAAATCAACTAACAGCTTAAAAGCCATAAAAAGTCAAGACCTTCACCGATCAGTTAAAAGAATATGAAGTAACTGGTGTGAAATCAGAAGCAATTTTGAAATTTGATCTAGCCATCCACAGAATTCAAGCAACTTCTTTGGAAGCGTAAAGTGTGATGATATGATAAATATTTTAATCTTTTTAAAATATTGTTTAAAAAAAATCTTCAGAACAAATACTTTTTGTTTTAGTTGTTTTTTAATTTTAACTATAGGTGCCCCAAGAAGTCTTTATTACAGAGCACCACAGATGGGCATTTAACTGAAAGTTCATGCCTTCTTCCTAACCTGCTGGTTAGAAAGCCATTTATTAGATAAAACTTGTTCATTAAAAAATTATAATAAAAAATATTTAATAACTAAGAAATAAATTTTTTAAAAATCTAAAATGAATTATAAATTTAAATATATAAAATTAAATAAAAAAAGCAAGAACAATGTTTTATTATCAACTAGATAATTTAATTTTTTAATTTATAACAAAATATTATCGAAATTTTTTATCGACTCCGACAGAGTTTTTTCTTGATTATCTCGACTCTGTTTTTCTCGATTTTGGATACTTTCAGCGCAAATAATAAATATTTCCATAGTGTACTGACTGAAAAAAGTTGCAAATAAATTTTATATCAAAAAATGTTTTTGTTTTTGTTATATGCTTTTTTACTTGAATTGTATCAATTTTGGTAGTGGAAAATAATAAACGCCATAAAAACAAAAAAAAGAAAACAAAAACAGTAAAATATTTAAGTATACTATTTTTTTGAAAAAATTTTTCTTTTTTTAAATTTAATTTTTTTTTTAGTTTATTTTATTTAGACTTTTTCATTTGCATAGTATTCATTTCCTTTCTTTGAGTATGGTTGTTTTATTCTCTGTAGTTTTTTACAGCTTTATTTTGATGCAAATTCTTAAAACGCTTACTATATAAAAGCCTGGTCAAGTTATCTAAAAAATGTTTTTAAAATGTGGACAAACAAGCCATGCAACCGCACGTGCTTCCTGAAAAGGCTTGAAATATATATATATATATATATATATATATATATATATATATATATATATATATATATATATATATACACATATATATATATATATATATATATATATATATATATATATATATATATATATATATATATATATATATATATATATATATATATATATATATATATATATATTAGGGTGGTCCATAAAACAACTTTTTTGAGAAAAACCTGCTGACACCCCCTAAATGTGTTTTATCTAATGCAAAAACACTAGGTTTAAAATTTTTTTGAACAAAAATTATTTTTAGGGGTAGCTCAAGGCCCTCAAAAATTTGACGGGTCCCTAATATTTTGAAAAAAAAACTTTTTCTAAAGTATGTCAACCTGGTACTCAAAATAAGCAAAATTATATAAAAAATTTAAAAATGATAATAATTTTTTATAAAAATAATTTTTTTAGGTATAAATGCATAAAAACTATTGTTTTTAAGCTGAAAATAAAAAAAGTCAATATTTTCAGGTTTTTTGAGAATAATTTTTTTTAGGCATGTTTTTTATGTAAAATGATTATTATTTTTGAAGTTTTTATACAATATCGCTTCTTTTGAGTACCAGGTTGACATACTTTAGAAAAAGTTTTTTTTTTCAAAATATTAGGGACCCGTCAAATTTTTGAGGGCCTTGAGCTACCCCTAAAAATAATTTTTGTTCAAAAAAATTTTAAACCTAGTGTTTTTGCATTAGATAAAACACATTTAGGGGGTGTCAGCAGGTTTTTCTCAAAAAAGTTGTTTTATGGACCACCCTAATATATATATATATATATATATATATATATATATATATATATATATATATATATATATATATATATATATATTGTTATTATATTATTATTAGTATACTATTTGAAACTAATCTACTATTATTGAAATTAATCTATAAATACAAATACAAAAGTATCAATAAGTTAAATATTATTATAATTTTAAATCCCTTAAAAATTTTAGAAATGAATAAATTAAAAAATTTCTGATTTAATGAGGCCTTCCTAAAAAAAAAATTTAAGAAAATTAGGACTCCACTAAAAGGACTATCATTCAAAGTTTACAAGCTCATCCTACACAGAACTTAATTAAAGTTTTGAGGTTTCTTTTAGGTTAATTGCTTTAAAATGATTAAACAACATGCACTCAGTTTAACATTGTAACTAGTTGCGTTGTAACAACAACAGTTTCGTAGGAGATCACTGCAAAAATACTTTTACAGCAACAGTTATTATTTATGGCAGAGTGTTATCATTAAACATGAATTTATATTAACGGAGTATTATCATTGGCTAAATAATACATTGTAGGAAATTTAAGTAATTCATATAAACAGAGCATTATCACTGGATAATTAGTTAGTCTTAAGTAAGTTAAAAAAAACTCTTGAAAACATAGTTTTATGTTTAAATATATAAAATATAAAAAAGACAACAAACTTAACAGAGTGTTATCATTGGCTATTTAACTTAATGATTTAAATGTTTTTAATTACTAATTAGTAAACTTTACTTTGATTGTTTATGTGAAATATTTTAATATTTTATCATTATTTTTGTATGCAAGGGAACGAATTTTATATCAAAAAATTTAAATTGTATTAAAAACACAATAACAGTATATTATAATAAAAATGAAAATATTTTTAAAATGTTAAAAACACAACAACAATAACACTTACAGCAAACCTTTCGATCTATGTATAGCTTTAATTTGGTCCTCAAACGTAATGTTAGAGTGTGCAAGCTTGGTTGTACGCTCCATGCTTGCAGTATGACCATCCCAAATCTCCAATCCAGATTTTTTAGGTCCTTCTTCTTCACCAAGTTTTTTACCAATGTAAGTTTCTTCAGCACCAACACCAAATATATCAGAACGACGCTCAGCAAGTTGTTTTAATGTATCTCCAATATGCACACCTAGATTATGACAGATTTAAAAATTATAAACTTTAAAATATAAAATTAAAAAATGTTACAATAGTAACATTTGTTAGTATTGCTCAGTAATAGGTAAACAAAAATGTTATAGTAGTAATATTAGGTATAGTAAAATAATATAACATAACATTATATATTAACATAATTACATATTATAACATTACATACCAACATATCAACATTATATTATAGCATTACATATGAACATAACAACACGATATAATAACATTGCATATGAACATAACAACACAATGTAATAACACTAAATATCAACATAATAATATTATAACATTACACATCAGCATTTTAACATTATATTTTAACAAGATTTTTGACATTAAAATTGATTACAACAGCAAAAAAAATAACACATATTTACAAAAATCAAGCAATATTGTAATTAAGTGAAAAAAATTTTATGATAAAAAGACAGAAGATTGTGGTAATAAGTAATATGTTGATATGTTTTTAATATTTAGCAGATTTGATTAAAATTTAGGATTAGGTTATTTAAAATTAGAATCAGGAAGATTTTAATTATTGACATAACATAAATAAACCTAATTCAGGGTGTGCCCACACAACCCACAAAGGAAAAAAATCAAAACAATGTTAATTGTTAATAAAGTTTAGCAAAAACTTGGATTTGATACTTTTTTAATATCTTTATTAGTACCAATAATAGTAAAATAAGAGCAAATTTGTTATTCCACCTCTCTTGTATGATTCAGACATTGTCACTTCACCTAAAGACGAAGCTGAATTGTTTGCTGAGAACTTTTTGTCAATATCCAAGCCTTCCCAGGAAAGGCGTGCGGTTTTTCGTCTTGTACGACCACGAAAACGTTTTTCAAAGTAGAGAACATGATCACAGCTGTTTGCGCAAGTTTTATTGTATGCGTTGCTGAAAAATTGTTTTAAATTTAATAACTACTTAAGAAATTAAAGTGAACTTGAATATAAAACAATAATAATAGTTTAAATAATTTGTCTGTTGTTTTTATTTTTGTTTTTTCTAAGTGGTTATTATTGTCGGCAACAAAATTCATTAAGTCAAAGCAAAAAAAAAAAAAAAACTGTTTTAGGCGTTAAAAAGGATGACTTTCCCATGTTTTATGTGTTTTTTCTTTTAAAGAGGAAAGAGAAAATAAGTATCGTCATCTATTTGTAAATTATAATTGTATAATTATAATGTAAAAAGTTTATATCAAGAGTTAAATTATACGATCGCGATTTGCAATCTCTGGTAAAATATTAGGTCTTTAAAATCTTAGTTCATGCGAAGCTGTGCACTTTGTTTATAAGGAGCAAAATATTAAAAGTTTGCTAGCAAGAAAGTTACAAAAAACAAAACAAAAACAATAAACTTATGACTACAAAAGTAATAACACTTTAGTCTATAATAACACTGCATTATAAAAGTAATAAAACTATAATAGCGTTATTACATTTATAAAGCACTTATTACTTTTAAAGTTCATTCTTTGTTCAAACAATATTATTAATTCCAAACATTTATTAAAGTAGAAAAGTATAGTATAAACATTACGTAAAAACGCGCTTTAATTTTAAAATTAACCCATAAAAAATTTTTATTGGTTAATTTTAAAATTAACGCGCCTTTTTACGGTCCATTAGTAACGCTTTTTCATAATGCTAAACTTTTAATACGATACGTTTTCATAAAGTTGTTTGTCACATTTTTATAAGTTACTTTAGTTTTAATATTATTTGAACATCTAATTTATTCTTTTAGATATTTTTCTACTTCAACTAAAATTTGGGAATACTATTGTTGCTTGAACAAAGAATGAATTTTAAAAGTTATAAGTGCGTTATAAAAATAATAACACTATTATAGTGTCATTACTTTTGTAATGCAGTTAGTGACTAGAGTGTTATTACTTTTGTAATCGTAAGTTTATTGTTTTACTTTTTTATTTTTTCGCTAACAAATTTAAGTTGATTCTTCCCTTAAAAACAAGGAACACGGTTTTGTTTAAAGTAAAATTTTGAATACTAGATATTTTTTCAGATTTTGCGTTTTGCATTCGCTTAATCTTTAAATTAAAATTATATAAATAAATTTTACTAACACATTGCAATTTGTATTTTTGCTATCCTCTTAAAAAAAATTAAGAAAAGGAAAATCATTCTTTTTATTGTAGACTTCAAACTGTTTTTTTTTTTTGCTTCACCTTATCTAATTTTTGTTGCTGAATGTAAAGAAACAAAAATAAAAATAGTACACAAATTATTTAAATTATCAATTTGTTTTTATTTTTTTCTATTTCAATCTCTTTTTATTTTGTCATGTTTTTTTTGTTTTTGAAACTTTTTCAGCATTATTATAAAACTTGCAAACGGCCGTGTTCACGTTTTCTAAAATAGTGTAATCGCAAGTGGTCATACGAGAAAAAAAACCGCACGCCTTTCCTGGGAAGGCTTGATATCATCTCTTGATTCCACTAGTTGCGTTCTATTTGATATAGCCGTCAAACAGGTTAATCCATTGCTTGACATTCGTATCACTCCAGCTTCTGTATTTAAAGTGATTTCCTGCTTAGACTCTTCTACAGCTTGTGGCCCAGACAACATACCTGTTATAGTCTTGCAAAAGTGTTCTCCCGAGCGGTGGTCTACACATAGTCTACAACCTTCCCATTCTACAGCTGATTTTCTAACAGTAACCGATAGGTTTTATCATGCATTAGATAAAGGTGGAGAGGTTAAGGCCATCGCTCTTGACATTTCTAAAGCTTTTGATAAAGTTTAGCATGTTGGTCTCCTCCATAGGCTTTCTTCTTACATCTCATAACATCTTCAAGATTATTGAATCCTTTCTTTCCAATCATAGTATAAACGTTGTCCTTGATGGACAACACTCTTTATCTTATTCTGTAACCTCAGGGGTTCCTCAAGGTTAAATCCTTGGCCCTATATTCTTTTTAATTTACATTATCCATCTTCCAGATATTCTCACATCTTAGGTGGCATTGTTCGCTGATTGCTTGGAGGGGGCATTTGAGCTCGAAAAAGATCTCACTTCTGCTGGAGCATGGGGCTTACAGTGGTTGGTGAATTTTATTCAGATAAAACTCAATTTTTTCCAGCCAACTGTTATCATAATAATTTAGATCTTCCTATATTTATGAACGGTAATGTAATCAATGAGTCATCTATTCTCCATCTTCTAGGATCGACTCTTACTTCCAATCTTTCTTAGAAACCATATATCAAATCAGTTGCAAAATTAGCATCTGCTAAGGTTGCATCTCTTTATTGAGCTTGACACTTTCTTACTCCAGATTCAATTTTCTATCTCTATAAATCTCTAATCTGGCCTTCTATGGAATACTGATGCCATATCTGGGGTGGATCTTCAAATGATGCCCTTTCTCTTTTAGACAAGGTCCAAAAATGCATTGTAAACATAATTGGACCTGCTTTTGCAGCCAACCTCTAACTTTTATCACAATGACGTAATGTTGCTTCTCTTTCTCTTTTCTACAAATACTATAATGAGCACTCTACTAGCACCTCTACTAAAATTTATTCTTGTGATACTCCTCATTAAATTAAGTCTCATTATTTTTCTGCGACTGTTCCTAAGTGCTTCAAAAACTCTCATTTGTCTAATTTTTTTCCTTGACATTTACATTTTAGCTACATTTTTGTGTCCTTTTTTCTTAGTCAAAATGTTTATTGAAGTGTCTATAATTAAAATAACAGTTTTAATAGAGTTTTTAAGATTTATGAGAATATATGTTAAAGTGACTGGTAAATTTTTTTTTAAACAAACCTACTTTACTTTTGTGGTGTAAAACAAAAACAATTGATGATTTAAGTTGATTTCTTTTTTGTATCAAGTCATAAATATGCTGTAGATTTAAAACTTGTGGAAAAATGTTATAAACAAAGCTATGGAAATTTTTTTTTTTAACCATTCTATGCATACTGCAACAATTAATGATGACAATGGTGGTAAAGTTATAACAAATTTTTTACCCTTTTAATAATCACAAAAATAAAAATTCATCAACAGTCTCTGCTACTATACAGCAGAGCTATTTAAATGTGATAAACATTTGTTGGTTGGTAGCTTCTGCTACAAACCAACATTTTATTTCTTTTGATTTTCCGTTGTAATTGAAAATGTAAACTTTGAAATAGTAAAAATGAAATAGTAAAACTTTAATAATAATTAAGATATTAAAAAAATCAAATTAAACATAAAAAGAAAACTAATCAATGCTCAAAGGATTTAATACTAAAATCCCTAGTCTGTGTTAATGTTATAAATATAATGTCCTAAAAAATCTAAAATCATCAGACTGTGATATCGTTGTCTTACTTTTATAACTTTCAATGCTATGTTATTTTCAATTCCTTTTCAATATTGTGGTTAAAATTTTTTATAAAAACAAACAAACTTATAAATAATAATATTTTGTAAAAACCTTCTGCAAACACTTGCTCTTGTTGACGTTTTTCTTCAATTGCCTTTTCTTTCTGCTCTTTCCATCTTGGATCGAGTAAATTTATTTTCATGTGGGCAGCCATTGATTCAACAGGAACTTTTTCTCCAGTAAGTGGTGATATTAGGAACTGATCTGCCAGTGAAGAAAGTAATGTAGAAGGTTTCACTTTAGGATCATAGTTTTTACGAATTGTTACATTTGAGGGTATCATCGGAGGAGGAGCAACAGGTGGAGGCATTTGTGACTCTTTTTCAGGCTCTTCTTCAACCTCATCTTCATCAGCATCACTTTCTTCTTCCTTTAAATAAAAAAATTGCTTTAAAAATTTAATTCTTTATTTAAATCAAATTATGATTAAACTGTTACTTTAAAAACAGTTAATGCAAGAACAATATCAATGTACCACACTGTAAATTACAGTGTGCAGCACAAATACTATCAATGTACTGCACTGTAACTTACAGTGTGCATCAAGAAAGACTATCAATGTACCACACTGTAACTTACAGTGTGCAGCAAGGACACTATCAATGTATCACACTGTAACTTACAGTATGATACATTGATAGTGTGCAGGATATTGTTCTATTCTAGACTGTTTTCAACAGTGTTTAATGAAATCCAGATACTGATTTGTGTACCATTAAAGTTAAATATAGACTACTTAGCATAATTTATATTACTATGTGCTAAATTAAAAATTTGTAATATGTATTATATTCCTATATATTATGTAATATATATTATAAGTATAAATGTATATTAGGGTGGGTTGTAAAAATATTTTTTTTTATCTGTTATGTCATGTCTGCTCCAAAAGTGTTAGTTGACTCCAATCAGTTCACAAATTTATAATACAAGTTAATAGTACACAAGTTAATAGAACACAATAACTATATAAATAAATAAACAAATAAATATTTAAAACTTCAAAAAAAAATTGGCTTCTGTCTACAGCTTTTTCTATTGAATTGAAATTTTCTGCATTCACTTAAAAGAAAATGGTTTAAAAAATATAAACAAAAGACACTAATACAATTTTTTATAGATATTAAATAAAAAATAAAGAATGCATTTTATTTGATGTATGGAATTTAGATTGCAATCTGATGTATGAATCATTTATAGTACTTATTATAACAACATTTAAAAGTATGCTATGAGTAAAATTAACATCAAAAAAAGTTGTTACATATTAAAATTCATCTTTTATTGTCATATAAAAATTTTTTAATTTTGGTTAAGATACTTGTCATGCCAATTAGATTTTGCAGCTGACTGCAATCCAAATTAAATAAAAAATAGTTAATCAGCAAAAAGGTTTCATCTATATATTCATATATTTGATTTTCATACTTCTAATGGAATTAGACTTTGCTAAAAGCTTCTTTTACATAAAACAAAAAAACTGATGATAGAAACCTTTTCAAAGAAAAGAACCAGAAAATTCTACTGTTGCAGAAAATGCTGTGTCACAAGTTGAAAGTGTGACAAACATGCATCCTTACCAACAGTTCAATAATACTTAATACAAGCACTGTGTTCTCAAGTCTATGAAAAGCAACAAAATATAATCTGAATGTCAGCTGACAGAAAGTATAAAAATACAACAACTCCTAGTTCTAATCTCTCTTGGATTTTTTCAAAACAAAGAAAAGTTTTGCAATTAAATTTCAGGTTTGTTTGATGTTGTTGAATGTGACTATGATGGAAAGATGTCTTGTAGTTAATTGATCCAATTGAAAGATGAAAATAAGTAGTACAGTGGTTAAAAAGACTACAAGGAAAGAACACTTAAATAAGTTAACTAAGACACCAGAGATTGCACTGGAACAACAAAAACAAGAATCTTTTATTACCATACAAGAAAATATTCTTTACCAGTGGGGAAACTGGTTATGATAGAGGAAAATAGAGGTTCTAAAAGTCTTGAACATAATTGAAACCTAAACTTTCAAATGATAACAATTAAATCAGCCTTAAAGACTACTGGTGAGGTCTGGTTGTTTTGTGGATTTTCAGCATATAGCAAAATTAAAGGTGCAAAATTTGATTTAGATGGAGCAACTGTTGATGGTTTTGCTATAAACCTGTACAACAAAACCATCAATTGCTTTAAACATTTTGATGGGACATATTGTGAATATTTATGTGCCTATGTAGTTTACTTTAAAGTACCATAAGCTAACAAATGATCCTCAAAATCTGAGTTAGTAGAAGATAAAGCTATTAAAGAAATTGTACAGCGGTACATTCAAAGAAATGTTTATCTATATTCAAAACATCAACTTAAGAAGGACTATTTCCCAAAAAGGTCAAACACTCTTACATATTATATTTACCAGTAACTTTTTGAACTTTATAGAATTTGAATTTTTTTTAATCAAAATATTTAAATTCTATATGCATGTTTATATATATATATATATATATATATATATATATATATATATATATATATATATATATATATATATATATATATATATATATATATATATATATATATATATATATATATATGTATATATATATATATATATATATATATATATATATATATATATATATATATATATATATACTCAAACACGCACACGTGCATATATAAAAGTATAAAGTGTGTTTAGATAATGTCTGACATCATACTGAAATAGCCTGCTGTCGGGGGCTTTAATACATTTACTCTTAAACAGCCTGCTGCCACAAAGGAATGCTGCTACATCAACGGAGGGTTTGGGATAGAGCAGCAACTTTGCTTTCATTATTCTTTGTTTTTTTCTTAAAAAGCCATATAGCATAAAGATAAGCGAAATGGGTAAAGAAAAACTGAATTGTGATAAAATTTAATTTTAAACTGTGTTAAAAATCATTTAAATAAATATACAAAAATGAAATTATACTAATGAAATCAAAATTTGGTATTTGAAAAAGATTATATTTCCTTATAATTAATTTCTTATACATAATCTTTTATTAGCTTATCACTATTTATTATATATACTTTTTACGTATATAATGAACTATTTTTAACAGATTAGATTATAATCAATTTGTAGATGATTTTTATCAGTTACCAGTAAGATATTTGTAATTATAATTTATGTTTATAAATAAATTACTTCAAAAGAAATTTACACAGTATAGAATTAATAAGAAACAAAAAATTTTAAATCTATTTGTGAAAAGAATTTTTTTTTTTAAAAAAAAACACTTCTCCCTTTCTTTTTTTTAAAAAAGTTTGTTATTTGCTTTCACAAATTTTTAATTATCATAAATGAGTATTTGACTTTATGAAAATCCCAGGAATTTTTTCATAAAAAAGTCCAGAAAATCCCGGAAAATTATTTTATTAAAAATTGATCATATTAACTGACAACTAAAACTTTCGTAAACTTTTAAAACGGAATTTAGATTTAACTTTTTACAAAATGGAATTTCTAATATTCGAAAAAGTTAATTTTAATGAATTAAAAAGCAAAAAAAAAAAAAAAAAAAAAAATGTTACAAAAATTGATCTCGTGAAAATTTTAATTATAGAAAACATATTTGTTTAAATGCAAAAATTGTTGTATTTAAAATTTTGTGTAAAAATATATAAATTTGTTTTCAAATTAATAACAAAAAACATCCGCAAATTTCTGGAAAAATAAAGGAGTTTTAAATGAATTTCCGGAATTCCAGGAATTCTCAGAAAAAACTCATCTATGAATTATATAGAGACTTTCCAGTTTATGAATTGTGTTGTAGCACCACAAGTATCATTGATCTGCCTAAAAGGTGAGCTGGTGTGTTATCACAACTTCCATATCACATCATCAGGCTGATGAGCCCAATTGCAAAAATGGTCTGCAATATGCACTGCTTTGGTTAAAAAATTATACTCTGTATGTGATACAATGGTTAGATAATGATACAGTGTACTCAGAATATGTTAATAACTAGTTTTTAAGATACAAAAACCATTTTGACTTTTTCAAAAATATTTAAATTTTAAAATCTTTGATAGAGTTTAAAAATATTGAATGCTTGCTTAAAATCATCTTTTATCAGGCATAATTGAAACTTATTTAAAACCTAAACCATCAAAAAATCTTATTTAAAACTTAAAACCATCAAGAAATCTAGAAATAGACCACAAAATAAATAAACATTGTAAATAGATTATTTGATAGTGCCCAATTGATTTCATGCTAAAGAAAAAAGCAAGAACTTTTTATATTATCAATTAAGTTTTTTACATATTAAACTTTTTATATGAGTTAAACTCTTAAGAAATTGTTACATTTATTCTCTTGTTAATATGCTATAAATACATAAATTTAGGAAAATTAGTTTCATTCAAATGAGATATCGCAGCATTAGCTTTTATTCTGTCACTTTCATATCTATCTATAATTAAACTATCATACAGTAATTAATTTTTATAAAACACTACATTTCTCAAGTCTTAATATTGTGTCATGATGTTGCTAGTGTTTTAAAATAACTGTGCATGTTATTCAAATTTACTTTTTTCATTTTTCATTTTTAATTATTAATTTTAATAGAAATTTTAAACAATTATATTTTATAATTATTATTAAATCTTTAAAAAATAAAAATAAAGCAAAGTCCAAGGTTGTTATTTATAAGTTTACAGTGTTGTTACAAAACACAATCTGATGATTATATATAAACAACCAATTCTTTTTACTGTTAATGTTAAATTCCAGCAAAAAGTAATGTCTCGAAAAAAACTTTTAAAGGATTTATGAATTATAATCTATAAGAGCAATTTTAGATTATAACTTTACGCTTTATCAATGTGTATAATGTGTATTACAATGCAATTTTGTTGACTCATGATTATATAAATATTAGAAAATTCTCACCTTGCTTTTACTGTTTTTAACATAAAAATTCTAGTTCAGATGTGTCAATATTTAAGAAATTCAAGATGTATTTTTTGCAATTTATAATGATAATTAGTTATAAAATATTGGTATATAATAACTTGCCA